TGCCAAAGCCTGTTTTACCACGAGGCAGCAGTTTATTGTATTGTTGCATAAATATACAAACACTTACGTTTCCTCAAGAACTCAATTAATGATTTTTTTTTCATCTTTTTCTCTTTTTGATTGCAATTCGTCATAGAAAGGGAATTCCAAAAGCTCATTACATTCCGCGGTTTGCCTCATCAGGGTCTAAACTTATTTGACATAACTTTTTAAACCCTTAACGTTATGTGGCTAAGACAGATTCAGTCAGCACAAGTCAGTTCAGTTTCAAAAGTGTCAAAATGCTATTAACTGAAAAAATATTGAAAGATATATGTATTTAGTAAACACCTAAAAAAACCGTCTGAAAAAGGGATAAACTCATCAATAAAAACAACAAATAGAAAATATTCTTCTGCAGAGTTCTGAACGGTTCAATAACACTGACATCTTAATTCGCTCATACACCAAAAGAAGTAATTTATCTGCACTTGACATCTAGAATAACCATCCAGTGCATCAATGATGAGCACATTTGCAATGATGATAAGAAAACCATTTGTATACTTCCTTTTTTTCGGCTGTAAATCCTCGACTCTCGGATTAGATGTGGTTATCTTCCTGCTGTTGCTATTTTAGGTTTTTCAAAAAAGCTTACATTGAAGTCGAAGAGACCAGTGTAAATGCATGCAAGCAGAAGTGGTACTTATAGTTTCCAAGGAGACGAACGGCTCATTTAAAAACATTTCGTTCAGGATATCCTGTTCCTAAATTGGCGATTGAGACAAAATACTCTTAGAGGTTAGCTTTGGGCGGATGAAAATAAAACTCAAGTTTTGGGGATTCTTTCAAAACAAATCATTTGAGTTAAATTTGTGACTTATTGTGATACTCTCGGCTATGACGGAGTTACAATGGTCACAATAAAATACAAAGCATTTGTTAAGTTCTCAATGGGTGTACAGATCACTTAAGTAATTTTCCTTTACATAGCTTTTGCATATAATGAGAACATATCAAAGAGGACTTACATACAAAACAGTCTATAATGAGAATGAAAGTGATGGTTTCTTGGCTGTTTGAACCTGTCGTTAATTTCAAGGCTAACCCTAACCCTGAAAGGTATGGAAATCGACAACAACCAGGAAAAAATAGAATAATAGTCAGATTTGATGATGAAAAAAAAAAGGTTAGAAAAAAGCGTGCAAATAAACAAAAACTTGTAGATAACGATCTGTTTCTTACATATATACTTACAATTCATCTGAGATCGGCTACTTGACAAGATGTTGTAAGTTCCACTTATAACGAACTTCCAGAAATATCGAAGATATATGTGAAGCCTCAACTTACAATATGTGAATAAGATGTTAAAATGCTGAGTATATCTCATTAAGGTAATTTGGTAATATCAGCTAAGTTGAAATTGTAAATTGGTCACCGTAAAGAGTTAAAAGGCTGACGTTTCGAGCGTTAGCCCTTGGTCGAAGCAAACGCTCGAAACGTCAGCTTTTTAACTCTTTACGGTAGCCAATTTACAATTTCAACCTAGTTGATATTACCAAATTACCTTGTTACCCCCAACGACGCAGCACCACAGTTTGAATAGAAACTTACCCCCTTTATACATCTCATTAACGTTTGCAGCACCTACGTCATGATAGTTGTAAGCAGAAAGGAAGGTTTATTTTTTACAGAAAGTATGAGTGTTCGTGAAGGTGTAGTCTGATCGTCCGGGTGAGTGTAGTCCTGAGAAGGACTGTTGTCGGTGGTAGTGACTGACGTTTCGACAACCTGTGCGGAAGTCATCATCAGAGTCAAGTGAATATTCACTTGACTCTGATGATGACTTCCGCACAGGTTGTCGAAACGTCAGTCACTACCACCGACAACAGTCCTTCTCAGGACTACACTCACCCGGACGATCAGACTACACCTTCACGAACACTCATACTTTCTGTAAAAAATAAACCTTCCTTTCTGCTTACAACTATCATGACGTAGGTGCTGCAAACGTTAATGAGATGTATAAAGGGGGTAAGTTTCTATTCAAACTGTGGTGCTGCGTCGTTGGGGGTAACAAGGTAATTTGGTAATATCAACTAGGTTGAAATTGTAAATTGGCTACCGTAAAGAGTTAAAAAGCTGACGTTTCGAGCGTTTGCTTCGACCAAGGGCTAACGCTCGAAACGTCAGCCTTTTAACTCTTTACGGTGACCAATTTACAATTTCAACTTAGCTGATATTACCAAATTACCTTAATGAGATATACTCAGCATTTTAACATCTTATTCACATATTGTAAGTTGAGGCTTCACATATATCTTCGATATTTCTGGAAGTTCGTTATAAGTGGAACTTACAACATCTTGTCAAGTAGCCGATCTCAGATGAATTGTAAGTATATATGTAAGAAACAGATCGTTATCTACAAGTTTTTGTTTATTTGCACGCTTTTTTCTAACCTTTTTTTTTTCATCATCAAATCTGACTATTATTCTATTTTTTCCTGGTTGTTGTCGATTTCCATACCTTTCAGGGTTAGGGTTAGCCTTGAAATTAACGACAGGTTCAAACAGCCAAGAAACCATCACTTTCATTCTCATTATAGACTGTTTTGTATGTAAGTCCTCTTTGATATGTTCTCATTATATGCAAAAGCTATGTAAAGGAAAATTACTTAAGTGATCTGTACACCCATTGAGAACTTAACAAATGCTTTGTATTTTATTGTGACCATTGTAACTCCGTCATAGCCGAGAGTATCACAATAAGTCACAAATTTAACTCAAATGATTTGTTTTGAAAGAATCCCCAAAACTTGAGTTTTATTTTCATCCGCCCAAAGCTAACCTCTAAGAGTATTTTGTCTCAATCGCCAATTTAGGAACAGGATATCCTGAACGAAATGTTTTTAAATGAGCCGTTCGTCTCCTTGGAAACTATAAGTACCACTTCTGCTTGCATGCATTTACACTGGTCTCTTCGACTTCAATGTAAGCTTTTTTGAAAAACCTAAAATAGCAACAGCAGGAAGATAACCACATCTAATCCGAGAGTCGAGGATTTACAGCCGAAAAAAAGGAAGTATACAAATGGTTTTCTTATCATCATTGCAAATGTGCTCATCATTGATGCACTGGATGGTTATTCTAGATGTCAAGTGCAGATAAATTACTTCTTTTGGTGTATGAGCGAATTAAGATGTCAGTGTTATTGAACCGTTCAGAACTCTGCAGAAGAATATTTTCTATTTGTTGTTTTTATTGATGAGTTTATCCCTTTTTCAGACGGTTTTTTTAGGTGTTTACTAAATACATATATCTTTCAATATTTTTTCAGTTAATAGCATTTTGACACTTTTGAAACTGAACTGACTTGTGCTGACTGAATCTGTCTTAGCCACATAACGTTAAGGGTTTAAAAAGTTATGTCAAATAAGTTTAGACCCTGATGAGGCAAACCGCGGAATGTAATGAGCTTTTGGAATTCCCTTTCTATGACGAATTGCAATCAAAAAGAGAAAAAGATGAAAAAAAAATCATTAATTGAGTTCTTGAGGAAACGTAAGTGTTTGTATATTTATGCAACAATACAATAAACTGCTGCCTCGTGGTAAAACAGGCTTTGGCACACAGTGGATTTATGGCTTATCTGCAATTGTATTTGAATTAATAAATAATCACTTGAAAAGCAATTGTAATGAGCTCCAAACCGGAACAAGGAAATTTGCATAATGATGAGAAAATTCAATCCAAAAATTCTATGAAACATGTTTCTGATGCTTAGTACTACACTTTTTGTTTTACAGAATGACTGATATAAGTCAAGAAATTAAAAATTTTTCTCTGTTTATGGGATTTGTAGGAAATAAGTGCAAAGTAAATATAGGTTTTGAGGGCATCCAAATATAATGCGTATTGTATTTGAAAAGCTGTTAATTTTATCATTTCTTTAGTTTATATGCTTTGTCTTTCTCAGATCCGGATGATTATGCAACACTATAACGAGTTAGGTTAGCCTCCTGTTTCTCGGTTTTAACTCATTTACCATGGTGTTACAAAAATACCAACCAAAAACTGAACGAATTCTTTGTAGAATCATGATATTTGCAACAAATCTAAATTACAACATCCGTTAAGGTTAACGAATAATCAAAACTACCTTTTTTCAAGCTGGATCCTTGCAATTGGAATCTGAGGAGGTTTTTTGAGTTAATAGATCCATTGTAGGGAATTTAAAATTCCTACCTACGTGTTCATGAAGTATCTGCTTGTTTCTGGCATATCACAAGGATTTCTCTCACCCTCTGCATGTAGGGTTCACTTATTTCAATTTCCACCCATATTTCAATTACAAACTCTCTTAGGAGGCCCGCTGACAACTCTGAGCGGTCAAATGAATTAATTTGTGCATACTTATACCACATACCGCTGAGCAACCAATTACCAAATGAAATGATAAATATTTAACAAGTGTCATTTAATTGTAAACAGATTTCACAGGAAGCTATCAAATAGCTATTTTTTCATTTTTGCTATGGGAATATAAGTATAACAAATCATGTATAAATTTTTGAAAGTTCTCATTCAATAAACTATATGAATTTTTATGCATAAAGGATTAAGTCATGGTATATGATTATTTTTGGTGAATCCTACTTGTAGACGTAGTCAAAATAATGTTTACTTGCCATCTCTGTTGTCGAAATTGGTTAACAGAAGTATATTTGCAAAATGTCAGTTTTGTAAAGTGTTTGATACATGTCAATAGAAAAGAAATGTAATTTTGTTTCTAGAATTCGACGACGTACATTATGAAAGCTATTCCGAGGAGTCCTTCAAATTTCAAGAAAAACTGAGATTGAAATTTATGTCACTGCGTGGTAACATTTTGATATGGCGTTTAAACAATATGTTAACTTATATCCTGTGAGCAGGTATTTTTCCAAACTCTCATTGTTAAAAATTTGAAATGCTAAATAGAAAAGAACTTGACCAAGGCTTATTATAACGCAGTTGTTAAGATGAATTGGCTCTGTGCCTTGAAATTAGTGGGTGGTACATTCAACTTGAAAGAACTCATAATTCAAGGGAAAGAACTCACAATTCAAGGGATCTAACAACAGTTGTTTCCCTACAGTGATACCTACAAGAGAAGTTTCCAGATCACGGAAACACTTATATTCGAACATGATCCAGTAAGAAAACGGGTAAGTTATACTAACAAAAATTATTTTTAAGTAGTATGAAATTAACTTAAGGCAGCTACATGCTAGTGCGTATTATACAAGTGCTAGTTTATGATTTAAATAGCATTTCCACTTAATATGTTTAGTCGTGCATTGCCTTCATTACCTTTCTATTTACAGATTCGATACCTTTAACTGATGAAAGGAACTGTCCTTGTAAAATCAACAGAAAAACAATTTGAGTGAGGGATAACAAGACTATTAGAATTGATTGTGTTTTACCAAACGATAATATTTTAAAGCTAGTCGTTTGCTGAGGAAATGTAACAGTTATTATGAATCTCAGTTGCTGTGATAAGTAAATTCTAAACAACTCGAATTTAGGCCGGTCCTCCCTTCGTTGCCTTAATTGTCACTGAAATTGAATAAAAAGATTCGTATTGAAGTGTTCAGAAAGAAATTGCTTCCGACGTAATCAGGGTCTCTGTCAGTCTAAAATGGAATACATAACTCATATGATCAGTTTTCCTTTTCGATATCGATTAACTTATTCTTAAAATGTTTGTGTTACACTAGCTCATGAAAGCCCGAGAATCGGTGCAACCAAAGTAAGTTAAGGACGATGTCTTTCTCAGGTTATTTGCTTATATTAGCAGGCAACTAAGACGAACTGGTCTCTTAAAACGCCTCCTGGTTAGCTCAATTGCTAGAGCGCCGGACTGTTGTGCGGGAGGTCGAGGGTTCAAGCCCCGGTCGGACCAAAACTCAGGGCCTTAGATAACTGAGGAGAATGTGCTACCTTTCTATAATATCAAGAAATTGATAGATATTCTAGCCTTCTCGGATAAGGACGAATAAACCGTAGGTCCCGTCTCCTGCAGGGTTAGGGGTAGGAGACGTTAATTTCCCACGCACGAGATTAATGTGTGGTGGATGTCTTCCTCTGGGATGGGATGGGTGGGCATATCTGCTGAAGATGGGCTGTATTGCCCTTTGCAGATTAGATGCCATATAGGACGTGTCACAGTAGTTGATAAATGTAAATGTACCACCAAAATGTTCGTAGAAACGAATCTTTATCTTATTAATCTACGCCAATGTACTTTCTCCAGGGTAATGAGATGGAAAGAACAGCCATTTGTATGGTGTTGGTTTTTTTTCTCCCATTCGCACTGAGGCTATCCGCGGCACTTAGAAAATTTACATGCGGTAAGCAAAAAAAAGGAGAGCCTGTATCTATCCGAAAACCACATACTTTCTTATGTTTACTTTTGAGAAAAGTAATTCAATTCAAGTTTCTTTTATTTTTGTCTTCCTTTCTCACTTTCTTTCTTTCTTTTTCTTAATTCAGGTTTTGTAAATGGGTACTCCGGAGAGTTCGACACTTTGACTTTGGCTGGAAACCAAATAAACAAATTTAGCAATGTATCAGTAATCTTCAAACAGTTTAATATCTCAGACAGGAAAAACTTATTTACTAAAGGTGATGTTGTCCCTTAGATAAAGTATTGTGGAGCAATAACTGTAACAAATCATCTTTTGCTGAAGAGGTTAGAATCCATTCTCTGACAAAAAAAAAGTGTACTAAATGCATAAAATTTATTTGTGTACGATCTTTGCAGTAAAGAGCACTATTTAAGCAATAGAGAAAATCAGACCTGAAAAAAAAAAGGCCTGTACGAGATTCGAACCACTGACCTCTGCGATACTGCGAGGATCGTGCACAAATACGTTTCTATAACCGCAGTTCAGATATATGAACTTCATATATTCGTTGTGTTTAAACGCATAAAATTATATGCAACTTTTGGCCGTACGTAAAGCCCCAGATACAAGTTTCTACTTCAAAACAAAAACAAGCAACAAAACTTTCAAAACCTAAAACTCAAATTTGAAGTGTCTCTCAAGATGACCTCGTCAACTTCAATACCAAGTCGTAGCCTCTGAATATGATGACCTATGATTGGCTAATCAATCAACTCACGCACGCCCGCCAGCCGCGTGACTGCAAAACTTTTGGCTCAAGGTAATGCTGTTGTTACATCGTGGTAATTTTGTTTAACCCCCTTATCTAGCAACTGAACTTTTCCATGTGTAATAACAGAAAGCTTCTTTTTATCATAGCTTTATTACTTCGTGATGAAAACGTTATTGCACTCGTCGAGGGAAGTCAAGATAAGATCTCCGCATGCGGACTGTCTACAGTGACTGGAATTCCGCTTATTCGTTTCCATGGTGACAATGAACTCTCTGATCAGTGTGAAAAAGTCATTCAGATGTCAGCTGGATACAAAGACCTCGCAACTGCCACACTAGATCTAATAAAAAAGTTTCACTGGAAAAGCATTGGAGTTTTATTTGATGGTAAGCAAAAAAATTGTCTAACGAGGTGACTGACATAAGACAGACGAACCTCTCAGTATTTTCAAACTTTCTTTCGTTTGTCCTTATTACATTTTTAACCATGAGTACATGTACACACGTACAAATATTAACCTTCTTGTTTGTTTCAGAGGATCACTCCTACCAAGCGGCTTTTTTCATCGCCATAACTAAGAGATTAAATCTCGCCGTGAATTTGATTCATTTTTCCACGGAAGGCGACAATGAAGATGCAGTTCTTAAAGCTATGGCTGAAGTTTACGGCCTGGAAGCAGAAGTTGTTTTACTTTACATAAAAAAAGAAAAAATTGAGATTATACTAAATCAGGTGCTATTTTAATTTTACAATCTTTCGCTTCTATGCGCCATATCTATGAACGTTTTATCTCTGATTGTAAATACTTTTGGAATACTTAGAAGTGACACTTCGTTGCTTACCCTCTAATTAATGAATATTTTTTAACGATAAAGATCACTCAAAGAACATTCGAAGAATTCTTTGCTTCACAGCTTATTTATCTTACTATTGAATCTTATGTCAGCTGTGCATTTTTCCTTCATCCAAGTATAAGTTAGTGCATGTCGTTGTTATTCAAATGTTCACATTGATAATACACACTGATGATGGCAAACAGCCGAAAACGTTTGGTTCAAACATTTTAAAATCTTTTCCTAATCTTTTAGCCTTGTATATAGAATACACTTTACTAAGCGAACATTATGGACACGATTATATACTCATTTTTATTTTCTCAGCAGAAAACTTGTCAATTCACAGATGGGTACAAGTGGATACTTCAAGGAGAGGTTTGGCAGTGAGCACATAATTCGCTACGCGGCAATTGAGGAAGTGGAAATGTTCTCTCGTAAAAATCAAAAGGAAATTTTCTGACGTTCCTATTTAGACTAAGAAGAAATAGTTCAACTATAAATTTCCACTTAGGATACTTCAAGCTCTGCTCTATTAACTATGGCTCTGCTCATATTATACTATGAATCCCTTTTTTACTGTTTTGGCTGTTTTTTTCTTTAATTTTGCTATTATTTGGGGATTTCAGATACCATTACATCTGACCTCCGACGGGAATAACATTGTCTTTGTAATGAAACTTGCCACTGGCCATGAAGAGGACAATGTCGTCAAAGGCAATAATACTGACAGCAGGGTGAGTGAGGCAAATCAGGGAGCCACATTACGAATACAACTAATTAACCAACTTCTCAAGGTTTTTCAATGGTCTTAAAGACACCGTACTGTTCAGATTTTTCAGCACTTTCGCAACCCGGATGCAAGCTTAATTAGCCGTACACCAAATAAAAACTTGATTCAAGGAATGCGTCTAACCCTTTGATAATTCTTTCATGTAATTGGTGACCGTTCTCACTGAAACGAATCGTCAATCTAGTCATAAAATTAGTTAAATAGTTTCACTTTTCAATATTTCCTTTGAGTTCGTCCTTTATTACTTACGTCATGGTGTCTATTTTGCCTTTAGGACCTAGCTGCAGTTTTTCAGGACACAACCCAAATTATTCATCACGCTCTACGCAGCGAACAATGTTTGTCAATAAATGGTTCCTCCCCTGGTCTTAGCGAAGCAGATAAAATGTTGACTTGCTTGAAAACCGTAAGCTATGTGATATATGATCCCTTTTGTCATTTCTACCATCATAAATAAGATCGTAATTTTATTTTTTTATTTAATATTTCGATTTCGTGTCTTTGTATTTTAACTGCAAACAGGTCAAACTAGAAGGCAAAACAGGACCTGTTTGCTTTGACGATTATGGGGTGAGAAGAAAAACTCAGTTAGAAATTTTAAATCTTCAAAATGATTCATTGATAAGGGTAAGTAATATCAATATAATATTGATAGTCATCGCGATCAAACTAGATTTCCTAAAAATAGTATTAGCGTTGAAACTTCATACTATAGAGGAATACGTGGTAAACTTGAAAGTGAACTTTTTATCTACTACCATGAATTTTCTTTAAAATGATTGATTTGAGTGAGTGTAACGAGGATGAAATCCTTATCTCTTTGATCAATTTATGTAGAGCCATCTTGAAATGATAAAAGATATCTCATCTTCAGATAGGGACATGGAATTCATCACACGGTGCCGTGGTTTTTGGGAATGTACTACGTAATAATGGAAGCCCTTTACCCGGAGGGAGACTGGAAGGGAGAAAGCTTAGAATCGTTGTCGTAGAGGTACGTATATCTATGACAAAGTCTATCTCAGCTTTGTTCACAGATCAATTCTGTCTCTGTGGCTTTTAACTGTAAAATCTGCCATACCGAGACCTGAGAGACCTCAGCGTAATGGTGAATAACGTGTTCTTCATTGTAAACGATAGATAGAAACAACGAAGAAAGAAAGTAAAGAAGTAACGTAGAACGTTGTAAAATACACTGACGCAAAGTAAGAAAAGAGTATAGGGAGAAATGGACTTTGAAGAAATGAAAGCCCTTTTATGGTTGATAACTGCTGAAAGCTACGATTCAAAAATAGCAGAGACACTTAATGCGTTACGCTGCAAAAAACTCCAACACTGGCTGAGAAAAGGAATGCGGATATAAATGAATGGGTCGGGTAAATAGTAGTTATACTCAAAACTCAGTGAAATTAGTTGCACAAGAAGGAATAGAAATGTGTTTGATCTAACAGTATCTGCTTTGTATAATTTTGAAACAGAATGCACCGTTTATAGTGAAAAATGAGGACGGCGACTTTCCATATTATGAGGGGTACTGCATCGACCTTCTCGATGAACTGGCCAAAAGACTCAAGTTTACCTATGAGATGTACTCCTCCCCTGACGGGATGTACGGTGCCGAGTTGGAGAATGGAACATGGAACGGTATGGTTGGCGAGTTAGTTGGCAAGGTAATTTTCTGACCTCTGCAGCCCAATATTTTTCAAATACGCCACTGCTAAATGTACGTTGAAATTATTTCTCGTTCCCTGTTATGTGGCGCACACCACCAGAACACACAATTACATGAGATAAGCAATATTTTGACCTACGGATGAAATATAATTAAGAAAATAATCCTTCAAGGTTTGATGCAATTGTAGAAATTGCATAAAAAAAAGCCCCACAACAGTCCAGCAACGCTGGAATTTGAAGCCTTGTCTCCTGGACTGTTCACTGGTTTTGTCTAAGAGTATTGATATAATGATGATCTTTCCTTGATTCTGACCTCTCGACCTTAAATGAAGTTCTAGAGGGCATGCTCTAACAACCAACAGGTCATAACGGATAACGGATAATCTTTATTTGTGCTCGCATTCATACTTGCTCTGAGCAAAAAAGTTACAAAATTGAAAGAGATTATTAGAAATAAAATAGGAGTACTAGCAGCCTGGAATAACCATAAGGGCAAGCGGAGCCAGGCAGCTCTCTTTAATTAACACAAATAGCAAAAGTGAATACAGAGGTCATCTCAAATTAAGATTTCAAAAAATGATGATCAAATCATTTGTCTTGAAAGCGTGCTGACATCGCTGTTGCGTCTCTTACGGTTACTGAAAGTCGAGAGAAAGTTGTGGACTTCAGCGTTCCTTTCATGTATTACTCAAGAGAAATACTGATCAAGAAATCACCTCCCGGTGGAAAAATTGACATGCTTCAGTTCATGAATCCTTTTGACATTCAAGTCTGGTTTGCTACTCTTGCCAGTCTGGTCGTCATCTCTGTTGCTGTGTTTGTGATTAATTACTTCAGTCCTTATGGGTACAAAGATAAAAATGGCCGAGGAACATCAGAGGAGTTTAATTTCTTTAACAGTGTGTGGTTTGCTTTGGCCTGCATGCTGCAGCAAGGAGCAGACAACACGCCGAAAAGCTCATCAGGTGAAGGCTTACATTCTAAAAACCACCAGTGGTAATAAAAAGTTACGCAAGCTAAGTGAGGAGGGTCGATCTGGCATTTTTGTCAGGAATCCATTATGTTAAAAGAAATTAAAAGGGGTGTTTGGGTTCAACATGACTCTTCATGAGAGCATTACAGCTCGATTTTTGGGGCACCTTGATGAAATAAAGTTTGTGAACCAATGCTTTTCTAACAAAAGATCGTCTTTATGGGACCGAGTCCATACGAGCTTGTTCAGATAGTAAACAGACTTGCACTGTCATATTCCTATGCATGAGAAGATCTCTTATTGTATCTTCATCATAACAATCCTTTTATGCTGAATATCCATAGGTCGGATTCTGAGTGGGTGCTACTGGTTCTGCATACTTATTATGATCTCAACATACACTGCCAACCTTGCTGCTTTTCTTGCTGTGAAAGATAATGATAATCCGATTAATAATCTAGAGGACATCGTAAGCTCCAGTTATCAAGTAGCCGTGATTGAGTCAGGAAGTACTTATGAGGCATTCAGGACAAGTCAGTATGGAACACATAAAAAGATTTGGAAACGAATGGTAGCAGCGGGTAGTTTTGTCCAGAGTACAGCTGAAGGAATTCAAATGGTGCGAGAGAGAGACCAGTTTGTGTTTATTTCTGATGGGCCTGTTCTTAAACACGCCGCACAACAGCCGCCTTGTGACGTCACTACAGGTCAGTAGGAGATGAGAAGTTGAAATAATTTTTCTGTAGCCCATGTTAACGAGCTGCCACCCTTTGATCACGTCCCGCCAAATCCTAACGCCCTCCACCAATTGACAAATTCCTAAGTTTAAATTTTTACAGACGATGTGACCTTTCTTTTGTTTTGGTCTCAGTTCCAGGCCTGAGCACTGCCCTGGGACTTGCGTTTGCGTTTCAAGCAAATAGTACAGATGTTGATGACGTCACACTTGCTATTCTTCACCTTCACGAAAACGAATTCCTTGACAATTTAAAAAGACAATGGTGGGAATACAAAAATGGATGTCTTAAAAAGCAGGATACGAGTAAGGATTTCAATTCTATCTGCATGAGATTAGCTCTAGTAATTGGTTCTTAGGTTTTAGCCCAGTAAGTTTTCACCAATCCTATACGCCATCCATATATCCTCATTTTTTACCTTATTTAACGAAGTACTTGAAACTCCTTGCGTGATATGAAGAATACGTTTTTTTTCTTTCAGCTTTCACTCGAAAGCGGATTGATCTCAGAAGCATGCTGGGAGTGTATGTTGTCATGGGTGTCGGAGTAGCTTTAGCATTAACGGCGCTGAGTGCGGAGATCTTTTGGAGGAGAATGAGGGAATGCAAGATAAAAACCCAGAGGTCGGTCAATGATACTAGACTGAATAAAACAACTCTCTGCGTGGCATTAGAGGTGTCTGAATGAAATCAACTATATATGCATGATGCACTTGAGGATTTAACGAGAACATAAGAAATTAATCATTTTGTGGTCGGCACTGAAAATTTAGCTGTTTAATTTTTTTGACATCTTACTCTTCTTGGTAAAAAACGAAATTCTTCTCTTCGATAAGTAAAAGTTTATAAGACATTGCCTTCCTCTTTTTTCCTTTTCCAGGCCAAAAGATCGTTCCATAGAAGTCTACCAAAACACATATGTTGATTTCCTGAAAACAGCCTAAGCCGACCAATCAAAGCCCGTACCTGACTTCACTTTTAAGGATAGTTGGCTGAATAAGCAAACCAGGAAACTCTCTCTCATTCAATACTGGATAAATGAACTATTTCAAGGCAAGGATCGAGACAAGGATGTGATGTCATCAAAGCATTCAACCAAGTGTGCCTCACTACCCGACCTCCCTGGGCACCAAGGTGTTTTTTTTTTTTTTTTTTTTTTTCTTTTCCAGTTTCGTCTTGTTTTTCGCGCAAATTGTTTTCCACGTTATATTGATTTTTGTTGCTGTCCCAGAATTACAGTCAGTGCTAATGAAAAAAAAAAGAGAATTCTGCAGAGATGTGTGGAAGGGGATCTGAATTACGAGTTCTGGGGCTATTTTTGGGAATTCAAGATCTAAATCACTTCACGAAGTTTGTCATGGAATGACTTGTCACCCGGCCACTGTAAAACGCACGGACAGTCTACGGTTATCATTTCTCAGTATACGTTTGAATTCTTGGGCTTAACTTTCGTCAAATTGTGGATCATTGTCCAAAAAACCTACGTAAGAATATGTTAGCAGATTCAGAGGACATACTTTTTTACTATATGTGCGTCACCATTCTTTCAAGTTGAATTGGGCTAATTTTTGTGCGAACTTTTGACACTGTCATGAAAAGTTGTAAAGATGAAATAAAATTTGGAGAAATAGCTATAGGGTCAATTTTTTAGACGAAAACAATAGAAATAAATACGAAGAGCCGGTTTTAAAGAGTGCTTTTAGCTGTCTTTATTGTTCGTTTTTATCTGTCGTGATCTCATAGCTTGCGAAGTGTAGATTTGTTTTTTTTTTTGTTTTGTCTAGTTTTTCTTTTGTTTGTTTGTTTTTCAATTTATATTGGTGACCATAGGTTCCACCTAGCCAAAACCTCACTATTGAGATATTACGTAATAGCGTTCCTAGATCTCGACAGATAAACTTCAAACTGGACTCATAGTACAAATCTTAGAGAACTGACAAAACTATGTACAAAGTAGGGTGACACTAGAATGGACAGAGATCGAAACGTCAGGTTTTCAGACATCACAGCGACCGTGACAATCTACGTCAACTTTATGTTGAGCTAACCTTTGGATCCAAACTCCTGATTTGAATTTTGATGAAAGTTTTTTTTCCCTCCCCACCCACCTTACTTTTTTGCTTTTCGAAGATTTATGATAAGAATAACTTTCATTCAAAGTAGAACCAACGACAAAAATCATCCACGTATTCTTATAGACGGAGTAAGAAGGTGCGTAACAAAACATGTGGACAATTACGTTATCTAAGGGGGTCCTGGGCGAATTTTCACTGAACGAAGCTTTGTCCTGTGGAAATAATCAAAGAAAAATGTAATTATAAAAGTAGATTATTTTTCAAAACATAAAATACACTGTAACTTGAGCATCCTAGTCATCCTCCTAGCTTATCTTTGCTGCAACCATTATCAATCACACAGGCAAACGTAACTTCAGGATAAATATCGACTACGAGTTCATAAGTCCAAGAATGATTCCCTGCAAACCTTTGCAGCTTGTCTACCAGCGCTTGTTTAGCTTTTCTTTTCCAGTAATGTTCCACCGCAAGCGTCATGAATGCTATTATCATTCCAACAGCCAAAACAATGTACACACCCAGCATACTCATTAGACCGATTCGCTTTCGGGACAAAGCTGAAATAAAAACAAAAAAGACATGTTTGTACAGATGTCATGTCCTTATTGACTGAGTTGGCTGGTGGGCTGGACTAAAAAAATAGCACAGTGGGGTCAGAACCTTGACCCGTCAGCTTTCATTGTGACTTTCTACACGATTGCACGCGCGGCGCCGTCCAGATTAAATTCTTATTATCTCTAACACGCGCAATGCTAACGCTGTAAATTGTTTCATACGACAAAAATCAAAATTCAGTCTCATTAAATACTATAAACACTAGACGCTTGTTACGACAGCTTAGGGATCGAGGAGTACTGATGAACACTTCTCGCATCGAAGTTAACCATGACGTCACAGATAATACTACTCATTAATTCAATTTATGACGTTACAAATGATTATATTAAGCCAAGAGTTTTGCCGCTAGAATTATGAACTCCTAGCGTTATTGCTCCAATTTATTTGAGACGTTAGAAATCGAAACAAGCTATGGTGGAAGTGGCTCCGAGGAGGTCCATTATGTCGCTTACCACCGAAAGATCAAAAAGACAACGAAGACCTACGATAGATTCCCAGTTTACAACCAAATCTGTTATGGAAGAATCGTTGATATGTTTAATGTGCAGTACAGAACAACTGGAGATAAAAGACGAGGACACTACACATGGCAAAGCCGAGATCTACAATTTGTGTACAGAACACGGCTACGACCGACATAAACAGGAAAAAGAGTATTTCTGCTTTCTCTGCTATGAAAAACAAAGTTGCGAAAAGGAAGAAGAAAAAACAAATCTTAAACGGCGAAATACCTCGGTGGAAGGGAGTTTTCACGAGGTCGAAGGATCGTTGAAGAAAATCAAAATCTGTTGTGACACACAAGCTCCGAACAAAACGGGGACAGGTTAATCATAGTGTCTATGCTGACAATGCACTGAGAGCTATTTCATGATCATCCGACATGTGCCTGCTTATTTGACGGAAATGGGCTGTAGCCGCTCATCATGGAGGCAACAAATCATTTAAATGACTTACTACAGGCAGCTGAGGAAAGTACTATAGAAAAATAGAGCATACATGTTTCCTCTTCAACTGGACATTTATTTGTACTCTCCCACCACTTTCTTTTCAAGCTGGCGAGAAAATCATTCTCGTGCAGACGCAAAATGGCCAGTGTGAAGTCATTCACGTGAGGATCATTGGCTTGGAAGGCGAGTGCAAGTCCTTTGGACGTGCTTAGACCTGGAACTGAAACAAAACTGAACCTAAGTTATGACTCATTATGATGAGTATTTATTAATCCGACGATCAGATCAAATCTCGGTCGGTTTGTTGAATATTTCAGCGAAGCTAATACGAAGATGAGAAGTCTTGGATACGAGTATCAGGATTTTTGGAATAAACTTATCTGATCCTTTCGTGATTATTTTTTTTTCTTTTTGTCGGTGTACATTTATCACAAACTTGGAAGGAATAACCCCACTCCACTCATGGCGGCGAGTTGTTGGGAAGACGATTTGCGTCAACGTAGAAATCTCATTACCGGGTAACCTTCATTAATCAAAAGCTGAGATATTTACCAACTTGTAGGTCACAGGGTTTGTTATTGGCGATATCTTGAAGAAAAGGCCTGTCGGTGATAAACGCGAACTCTTCTTTCTCTCTCACCCACTCAACGCCCTGAGCTGTGTCTTTAGCTAGAGTTCCGTCCGATTTGATTTTGTGCCATATTTTTTTGTGTGTTTCGTAGCCACTGGTCTTAAAGAACTCTGAAGTGCTGGAGGAGTCGAGTATTGCTACCGAATACGATGATTTTACGATGTCTTCTAGGTTGTTGATCGGATGTTCGGCATTCTTTACGGTGAAGAAAGCGGCCAAATTAGCAGTATATGTTGAGACCCAGATTAATATGCAAAACCAGTAGCAACCAGTGAGGATACGACCTAAAGAAGTAAGACAGCATCGTTAAAAATTATTGCGGCATGGAATGATGACTTAAGGGAGATCATTAAGCTGAGTAGTTGTGCGTTTGTTCTGCTCTCATCTGTTACTTTTTACAAAATACGCACAATAGAAAACTAAATAGTAATGACAAACTCTAGCTAAACTCTACTGGCAGTAGAATACTGACCAAAGCCTGACAAGTGGAGAATCACTCCCACCTGATAGACTTTTTGGCGTGTTATCTCCTCCTTGCTGCAGCATGCAGGCCAAAGCAAACCATACACTGTTGAAGAAACTAAACTCCTCAGATGTTCCTCGACCATTTTCATCTTTGTATCCATAAGGACTGTAGTAATTTATTACAAACACAGCAATGGAGATGATCACGAGGGTAGCCAAGGTAGCGAACCAAACTTGATTATCAAACGGATTCATAAACTGCAGCAGGTCATACTTTTCCTTGACTGATGTTTTTTTCAATAGTATATCTTCAGTGTAATACATGAAAGGTATGCTAAAGTCCACTACCTTTTCACGGCTTTCTGTTATAGTGAGTGCCGCAACGATCATATCGGCGCGCTTCGAATAGAGAAGAACAGCTATTTAGAAGTGCACTTCTATCCTCAGTTTCTGCATAAAAAGTCTTTCTTGTTAGTGACAAGCCAGTTATAACTCTGTTCAGTAGTATATCCGCGACCTTTCGCCATCCGGTTTATCAACACTTTCACTGATCTGTAAAATCTTAGTCATTGGAGAGTAACTTTGTACAAATACAGAGGGTCAGCATCATAATTCTTATCTCTTTCTCATATCGTTGTTTATTTACTGAAAAGGATCATTTATGGAATCTTACCTCATTTACAATCTCGTTCATCATTCCATTCCAAGTTCCATCTTCATTTTCAGTGCCGTACTTCCCGTCAGGGGAGAGGTAGAGCTCATAGGTGAATTTAAGATTTCTTGCCAGCTCATTCAGAAGGTCAATGCAGTATCCTTCAAACGAAAATCCGCCATTTTCATTTTTCACCCTCATTATAAAGGGAGAATCCTGAAGTTAAAGAAACAGCATCAGAACCGTTACATTTTTATAAAGTCTTTCGATTTCCGGCATAAATTGATCTAATTCGCATTCGAGGTTACCTAAAAGATCATGATCAAACACTAACATACTAACATTGTGGCAGAAAAACGTCTTCAAATCAAATTATATCCAATGAAGAATGAAATCTTCTTGGTTTGTTTTCCTTTCCTCAACTGACCGAGATTATTGGTCACTTACAGTACTATTTCATCTTCGAATTTTTCAACAGATGCGCTTTTCCTCCTATTTCCACTGATTTGACTTAACTTGTTAATTTTACTAAAATGAATGCATCTCACAAATTCAGTCTGTGTTTCATTACCATTAACACAACAGCCCTTAGCTTTCTCCCCTCCAGAGTTGTTTGCGATAGTGGGTTATCCATGTTACGCAGGATATTTCCAGACAACACGGCGCCTTTAGTTGAATTCCAGGTACCTATCTAAAAAGAAAAAAAAAAGAAAAAACAACGCAACAAGTACGATATAAAACGAACTCAGTTGAGTATCCTTGGATAGAATGAGTGCAGATCTTCTCCAAATGCCTTTAAGACTGAGAGCGATTTTGTTTTAAAATCTGTGCTGATAGGTTCGGCCTCAATATCAAGGACGTTCAAGTAGCCCTTTACGTCGACATCTTGATTATTTTACATACCAGTTTCCTTTACGTTTATAAAATCAAAAAGGCAAATTTGATTTAAATTTCAATCACGAAAACTAAATCGATTGAATGTTCAAATCATTTCAACATTAGTTAGAACAAGAGATTGGGTCCAATTTGAGGCTTAAGATACCTACTCTCTTAAATGAATTGTTACGAAGATTTAAAATTTTCAGATCAATTCTTGTACGTTCTCCTTGCTCGTCAAATTGGAGAATTCCTGTAGTTCCATTGATACTGACCTGTTTCATAGATATAATAGAACAGATAAACTTCAGTTTGGTGAACAAGTCTCCCTGAATTTCCAAACGTAAATTGATGCACCTCTCATGCTACTAAGATGGGTTCTAAGGTGTACCATAGAAGTGATTGACAGGACCTATAGACCCAAACCAAAGAGTCTTTACCTTCCTTAAGCATGTTAACATTGCTTTGGTTTCTTCAGGACCAATATCAGACCCGTTGATTGATGAACAAGGCTCTCTACTTGCTGCACTGTTGATTATCTGGACTGCGTCAAAACTAACTGCGGCCAAATGCTGTTGTAATGGAGAAGTTAATTTAATTACTTCCTTTCGTTAAATTTGGAAAGAAGAACAGATACCAATGAACTAAGAAAAATGAATCAGGATATCTGCAAACCCCTAACGACAGACTCGCTCCACACTCAGAACCTAAGAAGTTTTTGCAAGACAATGCCCATTCCCTCTCTCGTTCAACATCAATATTATGTATAACATTCAGATTTCATGTTTTCTTTTATTAGACATTCTTTACATATGAATAAGCTGCTATGCCATTGAATTCTTATGTCGCTCCTTTCAAGACTTACTTATAAAAAATATAATAAATTTACTTTTCAAGAACTTCATCTGTACATGTAGTCGTGAATACTAAACTTAGCGAGCGAGAACACGCGTGTTTATGTTAACTCAGAACACCCTTTTCGTTATTGTTTGATGTAATCACTCCTACATATCTGACCGTAACAGCAACAAAACGAGATGAAATGTGCATTTACACATGAAACCTGCCTTGTCAACGGAACTGCTGAGATTATTTCCAAGTGCAAGCTTCAGCAGATCGTCAACTGTATGATCATCGTACGACAGCTTTAAAGCTACCACTGAATTTTGGTAGCAGGTTAAATTCAAAGGCATATCCACCTAAAGAGTAATAAATAAAATACCGTAAATTTAGTTTGATTTGACCCTGGCCACCTAGCATTCGTCTAAAACCTGCCACCAAGTGCTGTGTGGGTTTAAAGCAGTAGACTGCAGGGCCCAAGAGTCTATTAACTTGCTACACTGAGTTGGGATATATTTACCTCACTGGTTACGTTGTCTTCCAGTGTCTGTCTATTCGGCATTTGATCTCAGAATTCATTGACTATAAAAGTTTGTTTTAAAGTCTAAAAGTTTTGTTTATCAAACCTGTCCTTGGATAATCCAAATATATGTCTTTCTGTGGTTGCAAGGCTTCTATGATGAAATAAAAAATGTTTTTAAAGTCATAAAGCTCTCGTTTGAAGAATTATCCTCATATAATATTACTTTGGTGAATCAAAATGCAATGGAAAAGCAAGACATTTCTAGGAGAGTAAAATTGGAGAATTTTGTTACCTGTTGTAACATTAGCTGGATGTTTTTATTTTCCAAGTAGAGTACAACAATTTCAGCATCAAAGTCCTTTACTTGTTCCATTGCTGTCTGTATGGGTGCTGTTTGCTCTTCGTCCTGTCCCTGCTCAGAGAGTTGAACTAAATTCACAGTCAGCTGTAATTTTTGGGTGATAGCGACGAAAAAGCCAGCCTTGTACACGTGACGCTCTAAACAAAAACACGCACACAAAAAAAATGACAGTCAAAAATTTATCACGCTCACCAACTGACAGGGCCATAAGTTCAGTATAAACAACTGAGAACGAAGCATCGTTAACCTTCATAGACAAGAACAATGTTTTTCCATCCAAAGGTATTCACAATGTCAAGTGTTGCACGCGCATAGTCTTTGTATCCCACTGACATCTGTATCGACTTCTCACAATGGCCTAAGGGTCCACTGTCATGTCGGAGACGAATGAGTGGAATACCAGTTACCGTAGACAGTGCGCATGCGGGCGTCGTCGCTTCAATTCCCTCAATAAGTGTAATGACGTTGCTTTTGAAAATCGTAGAGGCTGAAATAAATTAGATTGCAAAAATCTTGTATCTTTAACTTAAAAAAAGAGCTTTAGAATAACTGGTAAAATCGACAAATAAAACTTTCTTTCACCTTGATTAAATAGATTCACTGGGTCAGAAATGTTAAATTTCTTTAAAACCACTGAGACATTACTCGACCTGGAGGCGTTGTTGAAGACTGAGTTCACTGCATGGAACTCAGCTGAGTGACCAATAACAAATCCTGCATAAAATTGGAAAAAAAGAATTTCTTCAAATACGCTTCTGTTTGTTGTGTTTTAAACGCGTTGTTCAACGAGTGTTTAGGAATTGTTTTATAATTTTATGATGGTGTGCCTTGTTATCTAGCGATCGATGTGGTATTATGATAAATGATTGAATTGAACTCCTAGAAGTTCAATTGCTGGGAATATTTTATCTTGTAGTTTGGTTTGGGGTAGATAATGACGGTCCATGATGAGCTCAATGATAATTATAACTTACCACAAGTTAATTTCCTGTTTGTTGCATTAATCCTCTGTAGTAATGACATCGCAACGAATACCTCAAAGAAAAGGGCTCTTGTCTTCATCCTGTGGTCCTAAAAAGTGACAGAATAAATGGATTAAAGGCAGACAAGGAGGCAAATAAACAGATAAATAAACGGATAAATAAGACTAATAACAAAGCAATAGTTTAGTTAGAACACTGAACACTAAATCAGTAACAAAAATGATAAATGAAAAAGATAAGTTGATGCTGTCTTTGTTTCAGTTATGGGAAGAATTGGCTTCTTGAGTGTTTGTATTCACTGTTTCGTGTTGTATATCGTTTGTGCAAAGAATAAAAATTAAATTGTTTTCTACCTTTTGGGCCAAAGAAGAATAATTTTGCCAGTAAAATGATATATATTTATTTGGACGAATAAACTGCAAAAACGTCTCTTGGAATTAAGATGGACCAAAAATAGATATTTCTCGAGAACAAGAGTATTGCTCCGTCAGGTAATCAGATTGTCATGCCAGACCCCCGAGGTGAGCTGAGGTTTATTAACATCTTTGCCAGATTGTTCCAGATTATGACATATTTCCATTTATAAACTAGCTGTAAACAAAAATGAAAGTATCAGAATCTGGAAGTAAATTCCTGAATAGAAAAGTAGTGCGTTATACTAGGAATTTGCCGCACTAAACAACTGGCATATTGATGATATTGGGCATTAAAAAGTTGGCTTCAAATCAAAATAAAAACAAAAAATTAATTCAAAGAAACAAAATGTGTTTTAGTGAAAACTTTACTGACGCATACTTACAAAATAAATATTTGCGAGTGGATTTCTTCGCACTTCAGTGTATTTTTTTCTTTTTTATGATAAGTACACGTGATAAATATAGAACAAGCGGTTTGTACGCCATCCTAAATTTTCGTTCCATCCAAGCGAATTATTTTTCTCAGCAGCAATTATCGCCTCATGATGAATAATTAATTATTCAACGAGAAAATAATATTTTCGTCGCACCCTAGAGATAAGGGTTAATGGTAATGGATAAAGTAAATAAATCATACCCTAGTTAACTGAGAAAGTAATTTCGATCGTGAGGTTTAAGAAAAATATATCGATCCAGAAACAGTTTATGAAAAATGGATAGGTGCTTACTAGATATTCTCCAGTCTATCTAATATTTTTCCGTCTAAGAGGAGGCTCCTTTGTCTGATTCTTGACATGAATGTTTCTTCTAATGCTTCTCATAATGTATCCGTCTCAAATCAACGTTTGTCTTTAGATTGGCCTGTAGAGGTTGGCCGTTGACCAGTATGTCTTCGAAATAAGTGTTACTAATTGAACGGTTTAGCTTTAACTCGGACGAGGGCAAATTTATCAATTAAACAGCTTTGAAATCCGTAAAGTAATAAACACAGTACCTACAATAGTTGTTTCTTTTTGACATTGGCAGACAACACAAAAAGATAACCTAATTTTCTCCTTCTGACTCTTAATTTAATCTTTTATAGAACGAGAAAAAGAAATTAAGTTCAACGACCAGAGCTACTTTTCTCCAAATCCGAATTCACAATCACTCTAGGTAGCATACTTTTTATGTGTTCACGGTTTTTTTTTTTTTTTTTTTAATTTGATATCTTTGTGAATAAGCTGCCACGCGCAACCGGTGAATACTTTACATCAACGTCCCGTTAGAATGTGTGTGGAAATTAAAGTGATCAAACTCTTCACATTTTCAAGAAAATTTTAACAACAAATTCGATGAAAATTATTTTATGGAAATTATTGGGACGTAACACAATAACGGCTAAGATTGAGTAAAATCCACAATCCGTAGTTAATTTGAGATCCCAGGTTTGAATTCCGAGACAGTCCAACCCTTGCGACCTAACTTCAAAATCCGCGAATCTGTTCCGATTTATCACAATTAATTCTCGCAGTTTTTAAGTATAAATTCATCGATCCGCTAAACTCTTCGTCCTCCCGCTCTTCGGCAGCCATTGTAAAGCATCTATGGTATATACGTGTTATTCAAGAAATCAATTGCAATCCACATATGACTTACCATCACTAACTGAATAAGGACATAAAAACATACAAGTACACAAAACTCACCTGTTATCAGGTTTGCACATTACTGTTTATCAAACTGACAAGAAAGAACTTTGTGCCTTCCGTAGGGTCGAGGAACAAGTTTGATACAAACTAAATTTGTGCGCTGGAGATCGATATACGGAGACATCTGCCAGTTGAGTCTTAAGTGGAAACTGCAGATAAATTATTTAAGAGCACGGTTGGGCATTTAGCAACCTTCATACTACAACTTAAATTATTATCTCACAGTTCGCTAATTTTGCTACATTTCTCCCCTAAAACTTTTCAAAGTTGTATTGAAATCTCCTTCAAGCCGGACGACTTTAGATACCGGTCCAACAATACAAAATTTAACACCAAAAGTTTGAATTTTGCTCTTGGTAATTTCATAAGAACACCAGATTGGTGTCGAAAAACCGAAGGTATACAGGAATTGGAGATGGAACCATGATTGAAACCGTGAAGGGATTTATCAGTGGTGTATTTCCAGAGCAAAACAAACTCTAATTAACTTCTATGAATTTTTGTTATCCGCACCAAGCAGTATGAGATGTGTAAAGCAGCTGCCTGTTTCCTTTCTTCACCTTCAAAACATCGATCAGATGGGGCTTAATTTAATGTTATGTACCCTTCTCCTCAACCAGTGGTAGCAAACACAAGATTTGTAGGACATTCTCGAATTTATAAAAAATCCTCTAACGATTTGATAATTTAAAAAAAAGTGTATCATGCAAATTACATGGTTTAGACAGTACCGCCGAGATAGGCTTACCTCTCTTGTCACCATGGTGAAATTATAATGCACCTTAAAGTTTTTGTAGAGGGAGGGGTGAGTAAAGAGAGAAACAGCTTATTGCGGAAAAAGAGATCAATAATCATTTCATATTTTTTTCAAATGAAAGTAATACATATCTTAGATTTCATATTTCTTTCAGTCAGATTTGTTTAAATGGGAAATCATTAAGCCATCATGTTACTGATCGAAAGTCGATATGCCTAACTAGGTGATTAACTTCCCCACCACTCAACGCCATCACCTGCGAGGACAAACGAGGCTTTGAGAAATTCGTGCTGACGCGTACTGACGCGGCGAGAGATCTCCTCTGAGTGCTAGCATCGATAATTTTTAGTACCAGACCCCTGGAAAACCTATCTCTGACTCGTCTCAAACCTGCGGCGCTAATAATTACGGCTTGCTGGTTGGTTAGCGTCTAAAGAAACTGTAATATTACGTCGGTGGGGGACACAACAAGATAAGGTGGGTTCATAAAAAAGTAAGGTGGTTTTATCCGAACTGGATTTACTATGTGAGTTTAAAATTGTAAGGAGTTTCTAAAGCTGGCGTTTCGAGAGTTAACCCTCAGCCTTTTGCTCAACGAAGGCTTATATATATTATATTTCTGTAACTATGTGAAATTTCATTTCCGGCCTGAGAAATTTCAGCTCACGCAGTTACCAAGATTGATAATATAGGACCTTTTTTAACTCAACTAATACCGGTCTGTAGTTCTCGCATTGACATAACTTGAGTTATAGGCTACTCCAATCCTCATGTGGACACAAAATTTTTTATGGAGAAACGGATCAGTCAGTGGGAAATCTGAACCAGCTTGTTTGACAGGGTGCACACTGAAAGGAGCTCGGTTCATTAACAATACTGCCTCTTTACGACCTTTTACTCTGCTCCACACCCCGATCATGGAAACTAGAGAGCGCTCCAGCCAAACGGTTTGAAGAAGGACCTGAAGACCAACGCGGAGTGTACAAAGGGGCTATGTCAAGCTGTGAGTTAGCTTCCAGTTTGTCACTTATACGTGTCAGATCGCCATTGTTTCCCACTGTTAAAGACAAAAAGCAGAGCGCGTGGCTGTGGAACCCGACAATCCCAAGATGTAGCCGGTCACGTACTATTATTGTGTACGATGCGAAAATTCTTCATGCCGTTGATTATTGGTCGTATCGTTTTGTGATTTAAGACAAACTTCAACAAAATTACAATCTGAAATTAACCGCAAGAAATAAGAATATGAGGTACCCGGCACGCGGGTACATTGTCAGAAAATAGGCAGAAATAAAAAAGCAGCTTCCATGGAGGACATATTTCATTGAAATAACCCAAATAATGCGTGCTAAAGACAAGTAAATACATTCTTTTTTATAACAACCTTTTTTTTATATGAACTTTCAGGCTGAGATTGGCCACAATTTTATATCAAGAACTTACAAAGTGAGAACATTCCCAGGCTGAGAGTCAATTAAGAGCGTCTTTATTTTACTAATTTTTTTGTTCGTGATAAGTATAAATAGAGGTAGAAATTAAACTGTGATACAACAGGACAATTAACTCAAATACTTAAGGACATTTTTTAGCATTGATTTATTGAATTACCATACCACACAATTAAGAACAAGTCATGATGGTTTTAAGAATCAATTCGCAGTGCAAGATAAGAACATTTACCCTCACTCTCCTATAAATAAAGAGTGTAAATTAAAAAAAAATGTGACTGATGGATGTCACCTTAGGAGTTCAACGGTACCAAGAAATTGAAGCGTGCACCGGCTTAAAATATGACTGATCCGAAAAATGAAATACCTGAAAATCCGGAATTTGCAGGAACTCGTGGAAAATTTATGAAGTCGTGACATCAAACAAAGAACTTAAACTCAGCAACGAGCGGCATTTGAAGTTCCTACAACTTCATGGCGTATTCTTGAATTAGAAAAAAAAATTTGCCCAAACAAAAACTGAGGCCTCTCAAGACTAATGCAAGATAAGGTCCCAAAGACTAATGTAGGATAAGGTCCCAAAGACTAATGTAAGATTAGGTCCCAAAGACTAATGTAAGATAAGGTCCCAAAGGAAATATATTGTTTTTGCAAAAGCTTTCTTTTAAGGAACTGAATACATAATGATCAGGAAATCTTTTCGGGTCTCCTTCTATTTTTTGTTATGAAATTGATTTCCCGATTTCTTTTGCTCTACCCAAGCAAAACGGCGGCGTGGGTGGCTCTTGAAATTCTCCTCCATCCAATGAATGCAACGCAAGACGAAGACACGGCCGAGAATCGACGTATCGGTGAAATATTCACATCAAAACAATGCCCAATTAATATGCGAGTTGAATAATTTATTAGAGCCTCGGTGGTTACGTAGATTTGAGCCGATTATATGACACCCATCGGAAATGGCCAAACTGTTGAATAAAGCCGGCAAGGCGTGTTTTCAAGTTACTTGGTTTCCCGTTCGCATAGGCAAGTCGTGACCTGGCCTTTTCTATAAATATAAATTGAGACAGACTTGTAAATCCGACCGACCTTAAGAGATTTTCAAGTTCTCATCGCCTTCCTACAAGGCAGGAAATAAGTGAGCTTTGGTTCGCTACAGTTTATTTTGATTCTCCTGCAAATACAGCGAGCGGCTGATGTTAACAAAATTTGTTGTTGATTTTATATTGGATCCTGTCCTCCTTTGGCTATAATAGATATCACGCTTGGTACAAAGCTAAGATTGTCATCTTGTTCAATATCCAATAATCCAATGTCAGATAGAAACCATTGATTTATCTTGTCCATCATCTCATTTTAGGGCCGGAAAACTCATGTACCGGACGGAATGCGGCAAAAGGTTTTGTAGTAATGCATGCATAGGTCAGCTTGCCCGCCTGATCCCTGAAACTGAACTACACTAACATAATTTATGATTGTGAAATAATACAGAACTGTACTATCTCATTTGTTTAGAATACGGACTCTGGACGGCTCTCAAGGTCTCTGTCCAATCCGGAATTTCACACAGCTTTTTGTGCCTTTTTAACATTTGTAACAAAATCTAAAGAACTGCAATGCAAGTCAGAGTACGAACTGGCCAGTCCTTCATTAAGGAATCTTCAAGTGTTAATTTTGACATTTCATTTCACGAGCCGTTACTTTGAAGTATTGACGCGGTTCAACTGCCCTGTTGGCAGTCTTGTTTGACTGATAGCTGTCGCTTTTTAGAATATCAAAGTATTACGTCGGTCCCTTGAGTAAATAATTTTGGCCAATGTGAAGCAGCGGTGCGAATCAAGCGATTATCCTGTCATTTGGTGGTTTTTGATTAAACATTAATACCCGGGTTGATTATCACTCAAGCATCACGGGACGTTACCGCCTTTACCGACCATCATTTTGCTCGCTGTCTTCGACATCTTCCTGGAATTTCAAAGCTTAAGCCACAATGTCTTTAACAAAACTCAAAGAAAAAATGACAAAATTAAAAGATGATACGGAAAAAGCGGAGGCGAGAGAGGCTGACGCAAAATTTCTGTTGAAAGATAAAATGGAAAAGATGGAAAGAGACGTGAACGAGGCAGAAGGATTAAAGCGAAGGATCAAGCTGCTAAAGTATGATCTTGAGAAGACAAATGATCGCTTGGAAGAGGCAGGTGGAAGACTAGGCGAGATCACCCAGAAAGGTGAAAACGAAGAGATGGTTCGCAAAGAACTGGAGGAATTTGAAGAAGAGGGGGACGAGAGAATTAGCATGTTGGAAGAAAGCGTCACTGAAGCCGCTAAGCTAAGGGAAGAAAAGGTCCACCTACTCAACGAAGCCGAGCGCAAGTTGGTTGTAATCCAAAGCGATCTGCAGGCTGCGAAAGACAAAGAAAAAAAGTCTTTGGATAAATGCGAAAAATTGAAGTGTACGCTGCAAAATTACACTGAACAAGCAAAGGCACTAGAGGAATTAGACGAAGAGGCGAGCGAGAAGGAGCTGCTGAGCGAAGAAAAGATGGAGTTTCTGAAGGAACAACTTAAAGAGGCCAATGTTAGAGCAGAATCAGCCGAGAGGGAGGTTACCAAACTTGAGCGGCTAAAGGAGGAAACATCTTCTGATATCAGTGGTTGGGTTGAAAAGACAGAACAACTACAGAATGAAATGCAGAAAATTATATTGATGGATGATTCGGACGATGACGACTAAACCTTTACATACGTGAGACTGTATTCAGTTTCAACGAATTTGTTGGTACTTGATTAACACCCAGCTAAATTTGCCTGAGGAGAATTTTTATTTAATCAGTCATGAAGTCTATCTATTCAGTTTTCATTCTCTGTCTTGAAATGTCTCCGCAATTTCACCGAGGCATTTATGCAAATATAAAAAAGCCAAACGTAATCCATTTGGCTTATTTACTCTTTCGAGGTGTTGATTTTCCAGCTTCTCAAGGAAACAACCAAATATTTTGATTTTCCGCTCTCCCGCAGTGCAGGTTAAGTCTACTTATTGTTACATGATACTTCAACGTCGAAATAGTTTGTATTTCATCTACATGTATTTCTTTCATGTGCATTTGTACTCAATATTGGCCACTTTGTTTACCTTAGTCGGAATAATTAACTACCTGAAATTAAAATTTTTTACTTAAATAATCAAACTGCTGTTTCTTTTGGCTGCTCCTGGAACTAGGTAATTGTTTTACCCGGTTTTCTATGCTTAGGTTTCATGATCATTTGCGGTAATGCTGTGAGGGTTGCGATGTTACCAAGATCACGGACATGGACAAATTATTATAGCATTTGAACCTGGCTATATCTAGTATGTCTATTTTCGTTACTGAACTACAGAAATGTGTGGAATCTCTGGCTGAACTAAAATGGAAATTAAACCGTTTGCGGAAATTTTATTGTGTGCGATAGGAGAAAAAAATCCCACTCCACGGAGTCCTTATCGAAAGCCGACTTGAAGTCTGTCACGCAATTCTGCGGGTGAATGAACAAAACATCTCTTCGGCCAGTCCAATGTTTTTAGATAGCGGTGTGAATAAGGCACTAAATGAATAAATTAGTAACTACATTGATTAATAGATAAGTAATGAGTTTAACAAAAACAGACTTGAACGAATAATAGCCGGCTACAGAACATCATCTTAGCGAGTGTTCGTGCTCGCCTCGCGCTAACCTCTGTTCGCATAAAAAATTCGCCTGTTCTGAGTAGATGGGCGAGAAATAATAAAACAAAACAAGTAATCTAATTAATCTTTGAGAGTATGCCGACAAATAACTCGATTTAGAGCAGAACAACTACTCTGTTGATGTCCACTGCACTTCGGTCGCGTTAAAAACACATGCTACCCACGCAACTCAATACTAGTCTTTCACTTCCAACATTTAGCATTATGTATTGTGACGTTGCTGTCAGCGGAATTCTTTGAAATTTACACTCAGTTCAGTTGACGCAAGTTGAAGGAGAAATTGCAATCTCTAGCAGAGGCCTTAGGAATAAATATAAGATGTTTACAGCGAGGTTAGCAGGTCGATGCTCTTCAGCTTATTACCGCAGCTTATCGACCTTTTCTCTCCAGCAATCGTCGAAAAGCGTAAGTCGATTTCCAGGCAAGAGATGCAACAGATATTTTCAAAACGAAACTAAGGCCTGGAGATCGTGGGAAGGAACAACTAAGGCACCTGGTGTAACTGGTAAGTTTCAGCGATGTTTTATTGCATTTTTGCCCACACACGGTACTTGTATGAGTGGATAAGGGAGGACAAGTACAAAACCAGCCATTTACACTTACATTTGCGCTTTTTTTATATAATGAATAAGCTTACTTACGTTCACTCCATTTTGCATTTGACCTCATGCTATTACGTAGTCAAAGTGGGCCCTTTGTAGACTTTTCAATTTCCTATAATGTGGCCACTTACATTGGGACTCCATGTGATTACTTGACCAGCTGTACGAAGGATACATCAATCTGTGATTTGAGAACAATCACTGCATGTTAAAGGATCATTAATGATATTTGTTCCAAGAGCCTTACACCTCAGGATAATTAGTATGTAAGATGGTTCAGAGATCTTAGGATGGGGGTCACTTTGCTCAAAGAGGCCAGCTATCCTTTATTGAGAAATATTTCTTCCTTGCAGCTGAAACAACTGGCCGTGCAGTTGTTGGTGGGTTTGCCCTGTTTGGTGTGGGAGCCCTGTGTTATTATGGCTTGGGATTGTCCAATGAGATGGGTGCAATTGATCGTGCTATGGTATGGCCACAGGTGGTACGTGATCGTGTGAGGTCAACTTACTCTTATTTTGCTGGTAGTCTGGCTGTGACAGCAGTGTCAGCATACGCTATAAGTCAAAGCAGAGCTGTATTCACCTTGATGAGGGCAAGTCCATGGCTGGTAAGTAATGAAGCATGTTAACTTATGCCCCAATCAGCCTTTTATAATTTATAATTTAATTTATAATTAATTTCATTTATTAACTTTGCCAACAGGCAGGGACACCGTGACAGCTTGCGCCAATTACTGCGGGCCCAGTAAACCCACCCATCCCACCCCAGGGGAGTACATCCACCACACAGTAACCTCTTGCGTGCGAAATTAATGTTTCCTACCCCTAACCCTGCAGGAGACAGGGCCTACGGTTTATTCTTCCTTGTCCAAGAAGACTAGAATATCTATCCATTTCTTGATATTATAGAAAGGTAGTATTGGTCCGGCCGGGGCTCGAACCCTTGACCTTCCGCACAACATAATCCGGCGCTCTAACCAATTGAGCTAACCGGGAGGCGGTTATCTTTCTTTGTTTACAAAATTGGGGTTTTGGTGAATGACAAGTCAGCAAGCTCTCACGTGCAGCTCATGATTTTCCTTAACGTTACAGAAGTATTGTTTAATTGTTTTGTGGAGTAAAAACCATGTTATTGATAATTAACAGGTTGTGGGTGGAGGAATGATTGCTACAATAGGAAGTTCTATCTTGTGTATGAGTTTGCCATATGAAGCACGGCTGAATGCAAAGCACATTGCCTGGGTTGGTAAGTGAAAAAATGTCCTGATCTGATCACCTGCAAAATTTGGTCTCAATATACGCAGTTTAGGGACAAACAATATTAACTACTGGTACATGTACTTATTGACTGAGAGTTGACGCCTTACTGTATTGACAAAATGATGGCACTATCAATGTATCTATGCCTAAGTGTTGGATTTTCAATAACGAGAAATGATAATTCGTCCATCATTTTTCATATTAAGAAACAAACCAAAATGGATGCAAGCAGAAGCTAACACTTAATATCCCTTTGAATGTGTTTATCTTTTCGTTTGTTTTTTTCTGGGTAAAAGTCAGGTACACCAGGTTATCTCTTTTGAAAAAAAAAGGTACTTGTACTTTTGCAAAAATTGATTACAGTTGTACATTGAAAATCAAACATTACCTATGAGGTTGTTATGCAATTTGGCTAGAGAAATTTTTGAACATTTTTGACTGTCAACAACAAATGGACTCTACATATTAGAGGTAAATTAATGCATCAGGATGCCCTGTCCAAAAACCATTGTGCCATTCTAAATTACCTCAAAAGTTTTTCAATATAATGACTTGTATGTTGCAGTTCCTTAACAGAAAGGATTTAAAGTACATTTAATACAGATTTGATACAGATCTGTCAGTTGTATTACTTATTATCATATCTCGTATTAGGAAATTTCTATCTCTGGAGACTACTAAGTTACTCATCCATACTTTTGTGTCATCTAAACTCAATCACTGTAACTCTCTTCTGTATAATGTCCCTAAGTATGCTGTGAAAAAACTACAGTACGTACAGAAGGCTGCTGCTCGTCTAATTCCACGCTCTTCCAATTTCAATCACATAACTCCCATCTTGTTTGAACTACACTGGCTACCAATTGCAGAGTGCATAAAATTCAAGATTTTGCTTCTCACTTTCAAGGCTATACACAAATAGTCCCCCATGTACATTCAAGATCTGATAACCCACTACTTTCTGTCACGAAATCTACGATCATCCACTTCAATGTGTCTAAACGTTGTCAACCAGACCTTAAAGTCCTATAGCTCTGGAGCCTTTGCAGTTTCTGCACCTCAACTGTGGAACAATTTGCCTACCCATATATGTTTTTGTGATAATTTGAATCCTTTTAAATCTAAACTTAAACCGTATTTACTCAAGGAAGCCTTTAATTCCAAGGACTGTAATTATTTTTAATTACTGCTATTGATTCATACATGTGTATATATATGTAGGTATATTTGTGTATGCATTTTACCTATACGTTTTGTATAATTATTGTGAAGCACCTAGAGCATGACTGGATAGGTGCTATATAAATGCTGTTTATTATTATTATTATTATTATTATTATTATTATTATTATTGATTATCACTTTTGTATCAGAGATGTTAGTGAAATGTTTTTGCATTGGTTCATTACAAAGTTGATGTTTGATTGTGTCCAGGTCACAGTGCACTTATTGGGACCCTTATTGCTCCTCTCATGTTACTTGGAGGTCCATTAGTGCTAAGGGCTGCTGCTGTGACAGGTGGTGTAGTTGGGGCCTTGTCTCTGACAGCTGCCTGTGCTCCTGATGGGAAATTTCTGTCATGGGGTGGACCTTTGGCCATTGGCCTTGGTGGTGTGTGTATGGCGTGCCTTGGTGAGTGTCATTTGTTTCTTATTAAAACATGCACTGTTGGTACCATGTGAACTTTATGTGGGAGTGGCATTAACTAATTTACCAAATGTTTACTGTGGAAAATGAATTTTCATGAAGTTTGAAGATCTGGAACCCGTTTATGCAATTAATTTTTATGTTTCCACATTTTCATTATTGATATCAAGAAACTTGACCCACCCTCAGTGACATGTTTTACATCATCTACCTGTATGTATAAATAAGTGACGTATTTTACATCATCTACATGTATGTATAAATAAATATTCCTTTCACCTTTCTATAAATTGCTCTGTTGGGAAAGGTTCCATCCTTTAATACAAAATATTTGATCTGTGAATAGTTACTGAACAGATGTAATTATAATTAACACTTTTTTGGTAGTTTCAAGATTCTGGATGATAGCAATTATTATTATTATCATCTTCTAACAATTTTTAACCTCTAACAGTTTCTGTTATACCACCGTAAAGTGAATAGCTTATCTTTAATTTGTGTTACTCTGTAAAGCTTGAGAAACAGACTTTATTACATGACTCGGGCAGTCAGAGGGCCAATAACTAAAATCAACCAATCAAAATGCTCTATTGCCACTCAATATTCTCTCAGTATTGGACCGGGCACTGTCCCGAATGGTCCCGAATGATACCGCACTTGTGTCCCTTGAACTTCAGTCGTATAATAAATCTCTTATTAGCCAAGCTTACTCGGGACCGTACTGGAAGAATATTGGCCCTCGGTCTTTTTTGTATGGACCTCGCTGCGCTCGGTCCGTACTGTCAAGAGCTCGGGCCGATATTCTCCCAGTATGGCCCTTGCGCTTTGTTAATAAGATATATGTATAATTTTACATACTTTCAGGTACATTGTTCCTCCCAGCCAGCTCTGTGGTTGCCGCTGGTCTTCAGTCTGTAGTTACCTATGGTGGGCTTGTCATCTTTGGAGGGTTCATGTTGTATGACACTCAGAAGATCATCAGAAATGCAGAGACATATCCCTTGCATGCTGCCATACCATATGACCCCATCAATGCGTAAGTGTGGTCATGTACAGTATTTATATCTACCCTGGAAAATAATCAGTTGAAACGCACACACAAATATATATAAATTTTTTATTCTACCCAAGCTTGGAACCATGTTGCCAGAGCTAGCCATCCTTTGGGCTTGGTTTAACAATACTAAATAGAACCTATCTCTATTTGACTCAGACAGCAATAACAGGACTTGTTTTTATTTAATTAATTTTGCTCCTATTTTTCTTTTCATATTATGTTCTTTTGAATTACATAAACATAGTACAGAAGAGACTATTAATAATCTTTTTCCTCTGGCCAGGTCTATTGGGATATACATGGACACCATCAACATTTTTATTAGAATTTTGACCATAATGGCTTCCTCAAACTCACGCCGAAAGTGAGTTAGACTGTAGGTGTACCAGGAGCACCAAAAGAAGTGTTCAGTACCAGCTATGGGACAATATTAACCTCAAGATGGCATTCCATAATTTTTAAGGAATGTTGCCACTCATTGTTTTTGCATTGAATTCACTGAATTCTGTTTTCTGAAGCAACATGTTTGTTGGAAGTGCAACAGTATTTACAATAGATGCTTTATTATGTCAGAGTTAAACTGAGTAACACCATGTAACCAACACAAACACCTAAGAGAAGTGGAGTGTTGTTTTTGGTATCACCAAATTTCCTAGAGAGGCTACTGCTTTTGTTCATTTTATCACTGCATTCACCTTTTGAAGCAAATGTCAGTTGAAAGTGTATGCTATTGTTATAGTTAAGAAAAGTTACATTTGATGTCTCCCAAGGTATAAACAATTTATTGTTAAGGAAAGACACTGGGGTCAAATCATGCTTCAGGCTTTTGCCGTGCTTACCTTTTTTGGCTGAAATACATTTTCCTTTTTAAAATTGTGTATTTAATGCTACTGGATTACACTCTGATGTTTACTTATTAGATTTCCATGTAAATAAAGAATTAAAATAAATTTTAGTTTGCTCTTCTCTTTTTCAGGAGTAAACTTAATATAAGGAAACAAAACATTTACAACCCTGAGTCTACAATGGAAAATCTGTGTGTGTTTTATTTTGTGACAAATGTGTTTCATCACCATTTTGTGTTTTATATATTATCTCTACATATAAATCTTTATTTTAATAAGTTTTCCTTCTTTGGTTGCCCCTCTAGCAAGGTGTTCCTTCACTGTTATTTAGTTTGGCCCTTTCATTGCTCTTTGCTACGGCTGCTGAGGGCCGAACGCTGATTTCTGTGGGGCTCTTTTCTCTGAAAAAGCAGAAATAGTATTTTTTTTAACTTGTTGCTCAACACTTCAGTAGCTCAGTAGTGTATATCACATATGGAGTATTAACTATCTATCACATCACAGCAAAACTCATATGCCAGACCCACTGTTAATTGAAAAGTATGGTAATCACAAGCTGGTACACAACCTTGACTTACTTGTACCCAGTCATCCTCACAGTGCAGCAGCCACTGTGGGGAACTAAGAGCCCGAAATATTATGGAAAAAAAGGAAAAGCCCCCTTATTCTGCTTTTGTGTCACAGGAGTTACAAGGACTGGAAACAAGTTGGGTAGAGAGAGGCAAATCAAGTCGGTTGCCTTTTCATTTTTTATTTAAACTGACTTATACAGAACTAAAATCTTACAGCGAGAAACTGTCTAAAATGTTTGTATTATGTCACGTATCAGCAACTGATGCATAACTATTTATCTTAAGCTCAGTTCATAGCGGGGCTCCCACGCGCGCGCATCGCACGCGTGGGGCAGCGCCCCATACCCATGGAATATGGTCAACCTCTTTTCGTTTGGTTGTCACGTGACTGACTGAGCGTACGTACGTACTTACTTGCCTTCAGATGCACGGGTAGGGTAGGGGTGACTATCAAAACGAAGGGAGGGGTGTCGCAGGCAAGTCTTGGCAAATGCACATCTTTTATGTTACCATTAATATTACGAACTTGAGAGCTCTGCTCTTAGGCTTGGCTAAATCTATATATTACCTCACAAAGGAGTACTTTGATTTTAACATGGCCATGAAGTTAGAACCATGTTTCCTCCACCACAATTCGGCAAGTACAAGAAGCACAGAAAGACAGCCTCCTGCAGCAAGCACTAAGTACACACCCAACATGTTCTCCAACTGAATTCTTTTGCCAACACCCACAGCTATGAAGATTAACACATTTTGATTACAGTTACAAAGTACTTGGGATCTAAAAATAAATTGCACTAGGGGCTTTCTGCAAACCAAGGAACAAAAGAGTGGGTGTGGACAAAACGTGGTGTAGGCCACGGTGTAGGCCATGGCCTGCCGTGTGGCCTACCCTATGGCCTACCGGTGGTCAGATTTTTAAAAGCATAAAAATAAAACCAGTAAGAGTCGAATGAGTACGCTGGTGTACAATTCTATGCCTCCGAAATGGTATACTAAAAATTCACTAACACTATTTTCAACGTCCGAGGGAACGAAACAATGCAAATATTACATGTTAAGGGGGAGAGGAGGGGCCAATACTGCGTGGTCGCTGAGGATATCCAAAATGGCGGCTTCACGATCCATACGGGCTGCCAGCAGGTAACAAAATAGCGGAGTGCTAGTGCAAAAATGTAATGAGCGGCGTTATATCGGACAACATATCCAGGTAGGAAAACGCAAACAGTACGTGCCAGGCCAATTTTTTAAGTGCCTCTTTAGTGCTGTGGTATTGAATTTGCAACAAGCACCCCGGCACACGCAGGCATCGCCGTCATAAACATTTGACAAACTTTACTTGCTTTTCCTAAGAGAGTGCCAGTATTGCGCTAGTTTGAAAGGAGAGCTGATATGATGTTTGCCCAAAAGTTGCGTTTAACCGGCTTCTGTTCCTCGATTCCTTGTTCTATCAGAAGGTTAAGAAATTTTGATCGGAAAGTGGCTGCCAAAACAGCAGAAGAAAGTCATTGGTAAGACAGTCTCCAGGAAAAAGTTGAAAGGTTTGCAGCAATGCTATGCTTTTCAAAGTCTGACCACCAGTAGGTCATAGGGTAGGCCACAGGGTAGGCCACAGGGTAGGCCATGGACTACGCCATGGCCTACCCCACGTTTTGTCCACACCCCAAAAAAAGTGCACTGTCTGCTATTTAATCTAAACTGACAAACTCGTACAAACTTTTATTATCCAACTACACTTCGTGGAGTACAAATAACGCCATAGACAAGTACAAATATCACGCGGTATTTGTATTCTAGAGTACTGGTTAAACAGGTTTTCTTGCATCGCGCAAGCGAATTGGATTGTAGTTCCAAAATAAATGGCGGACAATTTGAATCATATTTCCGACGACGAAGAGTCTGAGTGGCTGGCAAATATAGATCCAAGTTTATTAGATGAATCGAACGAAGAAAGACAGCTAGACGACCAGGAAATTTCTTCATTTATTGAAGAAAATAGAAACAGCAACACGACAACGCGCCAATTCAGTTTGGCTTCGCAAACTTCTGTCACGCACTCCCTGTAAACAACTATCCGCGAAATTCGCCCCCCATTGAAATAACAATTTGGCGTGTTGGATATTAAATAACTTATTAGACGTTTTGGTGTGTCGTTTCGCTGAGTATTTTGACTCGTTATTTTTATTTTGACTCGCCCTAACGGCTCGTCAAAAATACGGCACAACTCGTAAAAATAATCAGCGATACTACACAACAAAACGTCTAATTAGATCTATTTATTCTCATCATTTTATTTATTTATCTATTTATTTTTATTTATTGACTTATTTATCTGTACTTTTGGACGCAAACCTGCTCCAGTTGTTTCCTTGGGACACTGACTCTTATATTCCCACCATTTTCTCCGCAAACTGTCCAATACACTGGTCTCCTGTAGCCTTAATATGGCCATAGATATGTTTCTGATATATGGCGAATGTTTAGGCAAAGCAATACCATAGCTACCAGCACTGACAAGTCCATTCACTGGAGAGAAATTAACAGACTCTTTCATAATTGAGGGGTTAATTCTATAGTAATTAGTGTTTTTAATGAAATTAAAAGCATGCAATGGGCGCTGAAATAAATAACTGAGACCTCAGCTCCCCCATCGCCCTTCACCATATAAAAAAAAAAAATAGGCATGCTACGCATGCAAGAGTTTTTTTTTTTTTTTTTCTGACGGGCGGGTTGGATGGGACACTTTGAGTACTTGATTTTGTCAGTTTTGCGAAAGAAAAAGAGCATTAACTTTCGAAGCTTTCAACAAACATACCGTTCTATGCAGAGCAAAAAATGCCCTTCCAATCTATATGAAATAAAATAAAAAACTGGGGGGCCTGTTGCCTGTCTGGACTTTGTTCCCTACGTGTGGAATACGTGATACAGAGCAGGTTGTTTACAAGGAAATGTCACATGATACGGTGAAGTCCAAATTAGGGCGAATTTCATTTATTTGGTAGAAAGCGTCAAAGCACGTGAGAGTTGCGTTACTAACAATAACATTTAGTTTCATGTGAAATTGTTTAGGTAAGGAAGGATTATGTCTTAAATTAAAATTTAGGCTATTTCCTGGAAAATGTCACTTCATCGGGGAAAACCTACTCAATAGTGACAAGTTAACACGTAATTGTTCCAGGAAAGTACCGTTTAAACAGAAAATGTAATTCATAGCGAATTTCCAAGAGCAAAGAAACGGATACTAACATGGTACAAAAACATGCTTTAACATCTATATGGTAGAAAAATTCCCAGCTGACTTTTTGTAACCCTGGCAGATCGTAGCGACGAGGTCCACACAAAGGAAACGAATTTTGATGTCGTTCTTATTAAGCGTCAATGTTGGGTTGATTTCATTGCAACACTTTGCGACACCCTAATTCTATGACATAAGGGACAATATCCTGACTTTCAGAATGGCGCAAACTGATGCCATAAATGCTGCGTTTGATTGGTGCGAGATACATAGACTAATGCAGCGATCTGATTTGTGCGAGAAACATACCACTCGATACGCTAACATGGTTATTCTTTTCCCAAAGGAAAAAAAGAACTCAAAAGATCCTAGCTGCGCCTAAACTATGATTGTGGCAGATCCTACAGCAGAAAAATCTTAATTATGAACACAACAGAACAACCACTGGTTTGTGAAAAAAAAAAAAAGAAAGAAAAAAAGAAAAGAAAAAAGAAAAACAATAAAGACACATTCCAGAAACTAAAGAAAATAGACTTGCTAGCCGCTTGAACACGATGTCACTATTGCACCACGGGGTAAAAAGCAGTAAATGATATTACGAACTTCATTCAACTAATGTCCCTCTTTATGGTAAAAATTCTATGGCTTATAGAAACCCTGTATTATGGAATATTTTAATTTCTAAGGATAAAACTATTACTAATGCAAGTTATCAAAACCTAAAAAAGAAAACCCGTTCAATGGATATTTTAAAGAGTTGACATTCAAAGAGACCTCTACAACAACCACAAATTTTAGACATAAAGATTTCCATTATATTTAGGTTACGTCAGAGCTTTTAACAATTTAATTGTTAGATAAAGGCTGATAGTTTCGAAAGAAACTGTTTGGGGCTGCGTCGGTGGGAGTAACGAAATAATTTGGATATATCAACAAAGTTGAAATGGTAAATTGGCCACCGTAATGATTACAAAAGTTGATGTTTCGAGCGTTAGCCCTTCGTCGGAGCGAAAGGGCTGACGAGCGTTAGCCCTTCGCTCCGACGAAGGGCTAACGCTCGAACGTCAGCTTTTGTAATCATTACGGTGGCCAATTTACCATTTCAACTTTGTTGATATATCCAAACTAATTGTTAGATAGTTTGATATTGTTATTTATTATGTATATATTTTGTTCTTAGGTTTAGTATTTATGCACGACCCCATAAGCTGCATAGCTTTTATTACTATCGTGCTAAAATAACGGTTGTCTGTCTATTGGTATCAAAATTTCCGTGAGTTTAAGTATGGAAGAGACCAATTTTCTTACCTGTTCTTAAATCACACGGTTTTTGCATGATTACGTATTCTGTTGATGGTTTTTCTGCCATGAAAACGGCATTACGAACATATCTTGCCGTGTCATATCCCTCTGCCGTACTGTTAACGAAAGAGTTGGTTGCTTTCATTCGTTCCCAGAGTTTTCTATATGTGTGATACTCAGCAACACGAAAGAACTGGTAAAGAGCACTATCACGCATGACATAGAATGGATAATCTCCTTCTACAACGTCCTCCAGAGAATTTACTTGCCTCTCACTGTTGCGCGCTGTAAAGAAGGCAGCTAAGTTTGCTGTGTAGGTAGAGATCCAGATAAGAATGCAAAACCAAAAACACCCGGCCAAGACACGACCTTTGAAGAAAATGAATAGGAGTTTTTTACCCTAACAAAAACAAGACAAAACCCCTGCCCCTTTTTTGTAGTCTTGAACTGGTTTACTTGAGACTTGAATCAACTTTTACGAAATTACAAAACTAACTGTTTTAACTGCATTCATCAAAAACCAGAGATTTAAAGACATTTCAGGCGAAATGATATCAAGATTTTCACGTGAAACCGATTTACTGGACACACCATGAATGCCTATTCATTCACACGAAACGATCAAAACACGAAGAGATAGATCACTTGTCTCGATGAATCAAGCATCCCATTCTTCGTTCTCATTGCCCACATTTCCGAACTTTGCCTATCTTGTTATTGTTTCAACTGTATTTTGGTTTTTGTTTTTTTAGCCTCCTCTCCAACAATTAACCAGCTTCAACTGACCTGATAAAGATTTAGGCGTGTGATCTGCACCCTGCTGTAACATTGAGGCAAGGCAAAACCACAAACTGTTGAAGAAATCAAACTCTTCCCCAGTCTCCCCGTTTCGTATATGCCGTGATCGGTGTCCATAGGGACTGAAGAAATTGACCAGGTACATAAGGAGAGTGACGAAAAGAAGACAGGCGAGTGTAACAAGCCAAACAGTGGTGGAGTAAGGAAGCATAAATGTTGTGAGATCTTGATAATTAGTGTCTCCTTTTTTGGTAATTAAACTCATCGTAAACTGCATGAATGGTTTGCTGAACTCTAGCACCTCCAGTCTCTCAGAGTTGATGGTCAGCGGAGAAGTTGAAAGATCTGCGCGCTGCACGATAACAAGAAAAACATTCGGTTAAATACGGTAAGCTTAAAATATCCTTTTGAGATAAAACTAGTCAAACTTCTTATGAACCGAACTTTGCATTGCATCTTGATCCCTTTCGACTCTGAAAGGTCTGATGGTCACGTACAGATCAAACTTCATGTGGGAAACAACTCGAAAATTTGCCTATTATCATAAAATAAAACATGTTCATGTTAGTTCTTCCACTGGCGTTGAGTGTTCTTGAGAAACATGAGTCACGAAAAACAATTGTATCAATACATGACTTTTTTCAGACTTGGACTGGATTATATGAAAAGTTTCTTGGCACTGAGATAGTTTGCCTCTCACATTTTTAGTGATCTCCCCAACTATTCCTGTGTAACCTGTCCTCTCATTCCAGCCTCCATACAAACCATCAGGACTTTGGTAAATTTCGTATCTGAAGGAAAGCATCTCAGCTATTTTGTCAATGAGGTCAATACTCAACCCTTCTAATCCTCCATCCTTTTTCACCATCACGAATGGAGCATCCTATTAAAAAGTTACATCAGAAAGAATATAATATAATTTGCAATAAATACCTCATCAAATAGCTTGAAAGGACGTCAAACAACGTCCCTTTAGGATATTGATTGGCGAGGTTACCAAATATCAAGTACTGGTAAATATTACATTTGCATAAGCCATAAATTTACTGCGGGATGACATTTCTTACCTCTACTACGACTACTTTGAGCCGCCTGTTGAGTTTGTCCAGTGGTATTATCCCAGAAATCTTTTTGTTTTGCTGCGGCATGTTGGCGAGAAGGAGGCTGTTCTGTAAAGAACTCCATTGTCCGATCTGATAGTTTATATAAAAACGATTTATTAGTTAAACGACAGATGTATGCCGAAAAACAGGGTGGTTTCCCATGTATAGCACTTACCGTCACAAACTTGTTATCTTGGAGGTTTTTGATGTCAAGGCGGCTGTTTATTCTGCACTCTGAGCCATTAAACTGGATAAGATCTGTTGTTCCCGCTAGTTTTACCTAAAATTATATGAAGTTACGCGTTGATAAGTCAGAGTAACAATCACTCCAAGCCGTCCTAAATAATAATTGCGATTGACTTTACCTTTCTTAGTTGTTCCAAAACAATATCTCCGTTTTGTGAGATGTGTAATGTGTCAGACGAACTCTTCCTCCATCCATCAGAAGAGATCACTGCTTGTAGCGCATGCGCCACAGTCCAAACAGCGTCATACATGAGACGTGAGGAATCCTTTGTAACAAAATAGAAAATAACAATGTGACGTCATATGTAGCGGCTGATTTCGCTAGTGCGCCCATCTGCAAGAGTAAACGGGAACAAAAGAGGGAGGAGGGTGATGGATGTAGTCGGAAGCTTATTTATTTTAACTTTCCGACTACAAAAGATGTTATTTTATACAGGATACCTACTCCAGCTTTGATTTCTTACCTTAATGTGCTGTGATGGTGGCATTTCTGACACTAAGCGCTCTGTCATGTAATTGTTTGATTTGTGTGGTTGAAATCCCAGTACCACTTGCGATGATTGAACCACCATGGTGGAAGTTGTAACCTGAGTCAAATTGAAGAATTGAGTGGAATGAGCAACAAGCAATTTTATCAACCACTTGTTGTTATTGAGCGATGTGTCACTCACCGTATCAGCCAGTAGCCATGTGTGAGGCTTTTCTATCTTCATAGAACAAGAACAGTGCACCTGGGTTAATGAACAAATTATCACGATTGTTTGAAAAATGTTTTGACTCAAATCTAGAACGGGACCCACGGTGGGTAAATGTATGGTGCCCGCTATTTAAACTCGAATTTCCCGAAGTACCTCATGTCATACAATGTAAAATGTAACTACTTTGAGCCTTACGTAATGCCGTCACTACTGACAAACACATTTTCTCAGTAAGATAGGTTGCCATGTTCTCATAACTATTGCGCTTCGCCAGAGAGATTTGTCCGCAGAGACTCTTTTAATAGCGCGTGTAGGAGTAAGAACTATTTAAGGAAAATCCAAACGTTTGAACGTTGTAAAAATTATAGGCCTAGGTAGATAACTTTCAGTCTTTTATTTATCGGGGAAAATTTTTCCCAAAGACGAATATTTCTCTCATACTTGGTTTATAATAGTCTCTGCCCAACGATAATCAAGAAGGAGAATGATTGCTTCTGTTGGCGAATCGTTGAATCTGGTCAGTTTTCTTTTAGTTTCTTCACGCAGTTGCTCAGAGTTGCCATGGTGATCCAGCTCGAGAGAAAGTTTGGACACTCTTAACTTTGGTGGTAGCTGCGACAGATAATCATGAGCTAAATGTCGCCATCTTACTGAAATAACAATGCAAGGTGAACTTTGGTATAACTTTCCATCAGGAAAATCATCTATAAAACTAATTCTATATGGAGGAAATATTGAATAAAACTGACATTGAAAACAGTCTATAACTTTTATTGCTGGTGTTGGTATAGCAATGAGAAGTCATTCGACCTCTTGTTTCACTCACCATCATACAAAAGAAGAAGACCCATCCATTTATAATGAACAACAATCGATATTATTGCCTGCGTTATGTCACGTGAACTCGGCGCCATGCTAACAAGGTAATTGGACAGTTTTGCTCTATCAGGTGCACTGTTTCCAATGTGTGTGGTTACTAAGGGAATTCTCAGTACCGAACTTACAGTTTCATGTGTGAACATTGTTTGAGAGTCTGCAATTATTACGGCAGTGTTAGCTTTGGAGATATTCGATGCTGTGAAGAATGAAAAGTCAACAATGAATACTAATTATTAATGTTAGTGTAATAAACCACTTTGAATAGTTTCATTAAGACTCCAGTAATCTATTTACACTCTCTACCTTCATGAGGAGTGCCCGTTATAAACAAACAAACAAACAAATAAACAAACAAAAGCAAAAGCAGAGACGTAAGGCAGCAGAGCGCCGGGTAAGGATCTAATTGTGCCAACAGCTGTTGAAAAATCAACCAATCACGGCGGAGGATTGCGCCACATAACGTAATACAACTCTCATCGCTTGAGGAAGGCTACGAGTGTGACACAGAGGAAAAGGCAAAAACCACATCGAGAGTTACTGCATTGTTATACAAAATAATGAAGCATCATAATCAACTGCAAATAGTACTTGCCACTTTCGTACAGGTTGTCTTGATTTATAAAAAGCTGATCCTCAAAAGACTTCAATGATGTGTTAGGAAGCAGACTTGAGTTTGCGTTCACGTGTTTAAGGGCAAGTTGAAATGCAGTCCATGCTTGACTGTTCGAGTCATTTGAGGACATCCCTATGATAAAACAAACCGCAAAGTACTGGTAATGAAAATAAATGAACAGACAAAATGTTACAGAAGTAAAAAAACTTATTTATTCTCATTTTCCTTTCATTGTAAATAGTTGTCAGAAAAATTACAGAGAAATTATGGGTATACCACAGCTTAAAATAAAGGATTCAAATACTTGTGTGTGTCTCGTTTACGTTTCTTTAAACATGCATGTCACATGAGCAGCTTTCAGTTACCATGACATTTCTTTGAAGAGATAACCTTTTGTAAGTTAGAACCACTTTCTAATTTGAAAATAAATACTTTGTCTGTTTCATACATTGCAACATTTATATCAAATAAAGTTAAATGATAACAAATAAAAAAAAAGAGGGAATTTCCCAGAAAGTGGAACTGTCGCCGTGCATCCAGGTGAAACTTGGGGTCTAAAAGACGTCATTGAAGATTTCTTCATAAAATTGTTCGCAAATATCTACAGAGGTGAGAAGGAAAAAAACATACCATACATGGAATATCAAACAACCGTATGAAACCAACTGAAATTGAAGACAGAATCCCGTTTTGCAGCTTAATTACCGTGTGAATGATATAAAAAAAAGACTAAGGAAGGAATCGTTTACCTTGTCTAACATTTTAATTTATCCTTCCACGTGTCATGTTTTTCAAAATAATTCAGTGAACTTAAATGTTAGTGAATTGACTGAGATGAAATGTGTGATTGACAAAAATGAAAAAAACTGCTTACCAATGTAAATTGTTGAAGGTGAAGTTATAGTTGTACTTCCATAAACACATGATATGATAATCACCAAAACCAGCCATTGTTTGGCTGGAGTAGCCGCCATTGGTCAGGTTCCTGTACAACAGTGTTACCCAAAAACTTTACCAACAGTCGATATTTATACAGGATTAATAACTCGCCTTAACCTACGCACGTTGGAAGAAAGTAACAAATTTTGCCTAAAAGGGCAACTAAAAAGTCCAGCCAGTAAGAGGTTCAAGTGGTTTGGTTTTCCTACTGCTTCAAGTGGAGAGAATCAGAACAATATAACAAAATAAACAGCTATCATTGGTAGTTTTAGAGAAAAGAAAAAAAAAACAATCACACTAATTGAAACTTTTAGAGCGTGGGAAGAAATACTTATGCATGCTTTTAAATCTTTTAAACACGTAGGGGACCTGTTGGGAACATTTACTACTTTAAAAAGCTGAATTCAGAATTTACACCGGATTAAAATGACTGTAGATTGTTGAGGAATTTCAAGACAAATTTAACACAGATTAATATCTGGCCCACATTATATTTACTATTGAAATGTGGTCAACCAATTACAGTACACTTCAGGCTTGGTTTGGGGTTGATGTGTTATTCAAATAGTAAGGATAATAAAAGGGCACCACAGGATTTTTAAGCTGTTTTTAAACAAGACACAATACACTCACCCATCCCACCCCCTGTTTTATCCAAAGCTCTATCAAAAAAAGCCACCACCGAGACATAATCGATATGTAGCATAGGGTTATAACAGCTTTCTAAACTCGTTAACGTCCTGAAGTAACTGTTTCGTTACTCGGAACTGGTTAGCTCAGATGATTACCATAAACCCATAATATCAAGCCAAGCTTTAATAATTATTATACCTAAAAGGAAAACAATTAAAATTCGTAATCAGAACAAACTCAAACCAAGTCTTTCTCTCGTAGCTAAGTTCACGAAACTTCAATGCAACCTTAGTTCTGCGGCGGGTCGTTGCAAAGAGGTAACGCCTAATTTATGATAAAAGAAACAGTAACCTATCTTTTTCTCCTTCACGTACTTATTTCATTCAACTTCATTTAATAAGAGGAATTATATTTCTGACCCTGGATGATACTGGAAAGTTGTCGTTTTGCAACCTTAATATAAGTCGAGCATGAAAACAGAACAGAGATCAATTCAGCTGCTTTGGCGATATCCCTTCCCTACATAAAGAGAGAGATCAGTAGCTATAAGTCCCTATAAACAATTTTGTATTAATATCCTTATCATATGCCAGGCAGACTATTTTCTAAAACAATATCAGTTAAATGATCGCCTTTAGTTTGAAAGAAACTGACGTTTTGCTTAAGGAAGACAAGCACAGACTTGGATCATCGGTTTAACGTTGGTAAAAGTAAACAGAGATACCTAGAAATAGAACGATGCCATGAAAGTTCATTTGATATTATGGATAACGAAGTTCTTTAAAAGTTTTTGGGTAAATCAGCAACTTCTTAACTTAAGAACTGAGTTCGCCTTCAGACAAATTCCACGTTTGGCGTAGTCAGTATAAACTGTCAATTCTCTCAGAGTTGATTAAAAATGTGTTTTAACTTGTTATAAAGTTTGACTGTATTTCAATTAAGCTCTTTCTTGTAGAAAAATCTAAGATAAAAAATGAGAGATTGCCAAGAAATTTTTGCACAAAGTCATCTCCATAGAGTCGTTTGCATTACGTTTTGTTCAATGATGTTATGTACGTACGTCTGAATTGTGTCATTGTAGAAAGCAACACTATCTAAAAACTTTTCATCTTTCTTCTTCTATTTACAAAACATTTTTAACGTCTCACAAGCTAATGAATGGTAACAAATGGAGCTTAATGGTAATTTATAATTTTCTTATGAATAAAGGCTGATAGTTTCTAAAGAAACTGTTTGGGGCTGCGTCGGTGGGGGTAACGAAATTATTTCAATATATCAACAAAGTTGAAATGGTAAAGTGGCCACCGTTACGATTATAAAAGCTGACTTTCCGAGCGTTAGCCCTTCGTCGGAGCGAATCTATTCGAATCTATTCGCTCCGACGAAGGGCTAACGCTCGAAACGTCAGCTTTTATAATCGTAACGGTGGCCAATTTACCATTTCAACTTTATTGATATATTGAAATTATATATAATTTTCTTAGCTCGTCATAATTGAACTAGTTCCCTTTCAGGTGATGAGTTCTATTTGTATTTTATAATTTTCTCTGGTAGAAAAGTATAAAATAAAACATTGCAATCAACGGAGTTGCTCTCAGTTTAGGTACGAAAACAGATTTCCCCCACACTTTTACAATATCTAACTTCGACAAAAGTAATTTTTCAATAACTTTCAGGTAAACTAACCGCAAAATATTTTCACACGCGATTTCTTTTACTTCTCTAATACATCAACATCGCCTATATTTTTCATCTGTATATAAAAAGCTCTAAAGAAGTCATGGAACCCATACAGGATTTCGTCGTCAAAAACAAAGTAAAGGAGATATCCGACTTCAGTCATTAATAACAGTATTAGAGAGCAAATTTTGCATAACTTAGCTTATAAGTTATAATGAAATACACAAACACACTAATTTCAACAGTCAAAATATGTGTAAGTACTTACATTTAAACAACTGATTCATCAACTGAATCTTTGTGATTTTCGCTGAAAATAATCCTTGCTGTCAAATGATTAACTTCGCTGCATAGCCTCTGGTTTCTACAAAACTCACTGAAATAACCGAATATTGTGGTAGAAAAAGGGAACCCGCTGAGGAAGTTTCATTGACGTTTGGAAACCACAATTGAACAACACTGCCAGTGACATATTGATTTAACAATTTCAAATTGTGACTTGAATACAAAGTATTTGTTGCATTGATTCAACTGAGATCTAATTAATGTCAAAACTCAAGTTGATATATTAAATACTCCGCAACGTAAAATTAATCTTCTTCTTAGAGATCAAAAGAAAAAGTCTCGAAATAAAACCGAGAGTTATTTTAATTAAAGTACCAGAAGAAATATATCTCCCACAAAATTAGACTGGATGGAAGATTCAAATTTCTTTGAACACCAGGTGACTACTGTGAACTTTCCCACCTATGCTCACATATCAAAAATATTTTTTTGTGCCCTAACAGGCTAACTGCAACCTTTGTTCGGAAGTCTACTCCTGGTATTTGCGTTATAAAGATCTCAAATGTCACCCAAAATATTCATATATCGCGCTTAGGCTGAAAAAACTAAGCAATAACCCTGAGATACTAAGCAATGAAGACCGCTAACTTTCCAAAATACACCACAGTTTTGTTTAAAAAATTGTCCACGATAAATTATTAAAAGTGATTTAAATTGTGGGCTCAGGTCTCCTGTAACGTACGCACCGGTAACATTACTTAATGGTCACCCGAACCGTACATGTATATTTATTTCTTGACCAGTGGTTTCTATAACAAAATTAAATTACAAAAATTCTAACTACCGAAAATAAATGACCTAAACGAAATAATAAACTAAATAAACTCGGGGAAATGAAAACTTAAAACATACCTGACGGTTTGGATCTTGAAAGAACGCGAGACGTAGCTTAAACACATACAACTCCAAACTGCGTAACATAACGAAACTTTTCGCGCGAACACTGAAATATTTATGTTGACGCGAGGGGACTGAATCCCACCACGTGAACGGACCGCTCGTTCCCAAAATTTGTTGTAGCATCTCCTCTAAAAACACACTTGCGTCATCTTATTATACTTATGGCTCTGAAATCATCTTCATGACTTGGTTTGACGTTAAGAAAAGTCCGAGGCACTAGATGACGATGGCAATCAGCTGTACGATTGATTGGTCAAACGTAACGTGTTGAAAAAGATTAAGGTTATTTGTTTTAGTTTCGTTTCCCAGCTTCCGCGAATTTTATTTATACTTCCATGGCTAAAAGAGGGGGGAAGCGTTTGGGCGGGGGTGGCAAGGGCGAGAAAACACAGTTATTCTCTAATATGTCGGGGTGAGTTAGATCAGAGGAAAAACTATCAGGCCAAACGGCCGGCATAACGTAAACTAGCTTGTTATTGCAATGGCTCCCTTTCACCTTTATTCTTTCACCTTTATTCCTTTTTCATGTGCATCAGTTATGTTAAGTTGTTGCGCACTATGGAATTATGTCTCAATCCACAAAGATGCTATGAGAGTGGTGTATTTTAAAATATATTTAAAAATAGAGTCACTTTGTTTCTGTTTTTCACCGAAAGTCGTATTTTGAGCTCCTCCCTCAGGTGTCATTCCCCGCCCAGCAGACAGTTAGCACTTCAAGCACCTCTCAACGCTTCAAGATTCTTAAGAAAGCATTCAGTCTTGTAAAATATGTTTTATGAAGAACAGCTTACGCGAAGATGAGAGGCCCATCCTGGAGGCTGGGACGAGTATCCAAGATTCTCAGCAACCTCCTGTAAATTGTTATAACAGTTCCCTGTTGTCTTGCGCTTAGATAAGGGAACAATACTGATACTTAATTTGGGGAAAAGCAAGATAATCATGCGGGGTTGCTTTTGGACTAGAAGTCGAGATAAATTCATCCTGGCAGAGGATTTCGGGTCATGAATCTCATGTAGAGAGGTATGGAACCTGCTGCGCAAAATATTGGAAGGAAATTTGCTGTGGTAAAGTATCATTTGATTTCAGTACAACAATTACCTGTTTTGTAAAAGGTGACTTGAGTACTTCAAGCAACTGACGAACCTAGAAGGACGATAAAGGGGAAAATTTTCCTATTAGGTATATAGAATAAGACAGATGGTAAGTTTTTAAGATCGGTAAAGAAATAAAGAAAGCTGTTTTTCGTTTTGTGGCGAGCGTAGACAAAAAAAAAATTCTGAGTCCACATGAGGAATCGAACCGCAGACCTTCGGATTCAGCGCTCTGAGTCTCTGTGGCTCAATGGTAGAGCATCGGAGCACGGAATCACAAGGTCTGTAGTTCGATTTCTTAGGGAGACTCAAAATTCTTTCTTTGTCCCAGGTTCTCACGAAAGAACGAAAAAAAAAACTTTCTTTATTTTCACATGTTGTTGGAGACAAAGTCTTGGATAGACATAAAATTGGATACTGCTAACAGGCATTCAACAACAAAATAATTTAATTAAAGTCCCTGCACAGAGGAACACAAAAAAATAAGGAATATCCCACCTCTGAAAAATCGTTCCTTTCCGCTGTTTGTATCGCTGATTCTGCCATCCAGTTACGTAAAACATAGCGAGGATTTACTTCTAAAAGAAGGACACGGACATCAACGGATAAAAAGTAAGTCACTCAGTATGTGCAGAGGATTAAAATATCTGAAGTTAAACGACTAATCTGAGAAAATCTCCAGCAGCGATCGACAAAGCTTATGTAATTCTTACACTGCTGTAGACATTTTGCAAACATAACGCTTTCATTTTTCCCCTGCTTGAGCTGCAACTTTGGAGAAGCACGAACTTTATCAATGTTGCGTAAAAAGAAATGGCTTATGGTAATTTCTTCTCCGGCGTAAAACCAAACGGGTTCAGTAATCACATTATTCACCTTGCATTAGTTTTCTTCTGCCCTTGTCAACATCAGTGTCACTATACCTAATTAAACAAAATCCTGTATGGAGTAAATGTCAGTTTTATATCCAAGCATTAGAGACTACGGACAATACTTACAACCGAGCCCTGTCAGCATAGCGTGCTAACCAGTCTCTCCAGTTCTTGTGTGTTTGTAGTTGCTTGAGTGCCCAAGATTCTCTCGGCAAGCGGTTTGACTGAACATCATACAAAGATACTTCACTTAACTCTCGGAAGGTCATAGTAAAGTCTGCATGAGTAGCCGACATTATCTGAAGAGAAACAACAGACAACATGAATACAAGTTGATATGAAAAGATAAAATGCAGTGACTTCTCAAGGCAAAAATTCACCTCCTTCTCAAAGCCCCTTAGACGAAAAACGTCCTCAAGCTAACATAGATCCTACAGAGATTGACCCCCATGTTCTCTTTTTTCTCACAAAAATTGCGGTTACGACATGACTTAAAAAAAATTCAACTTACCCAAAGTAAAGAGCGAATAAGCATTTCGTCATTTTCATCTTCATTAAGTAAACCAAGCTTGCGACGAAATACATCCAGAAACCTAAAATCACAAAATTGTGCATCTCAAAACTGCCACAACACCTTTTCTACATCTTAAGCTGCCATTAATTTTTGACCCCGGAACCATTCTTTTGTTTGTCGTAAAAAAAAATTCGGATTCCGTCATGTTCTTGATTTCTATTCGCTCAAAGATACCAGCTGCCAGGAAAGCGCAAATTCGTTGTGGTTCTATTGAACGCTTACACAGGATTTGAGGATCTCTTGTTTCTAGTAATTTCTTTTCCTTTCTAAGCAAATGTGCGATGTTGAGTGAAAAAATGCCCTTTCAGATTTAAAAATCCTGTCTTTTACCTAACCACTGTTCAAGTTGGCTGGAGGAAGTTTTTATCGATACAGTATTAGCGTACTCGTAGAAGTTTTCAATAAGGTATCGCAAAACAATTTCAGGGCTTTTAGCTTAGCGCCTTTCAGAGTCGACATTTGGCGTCCCAGAGTTTTGAAAATGTTGAAATAGTCGCCTGAAATAAAGTTTAATTCGCCGGAGAGAATATTGCCAGTCACACTGCTTGTCTTTGAAATAAAGAAGCTGAATGCGACATCTCGCTCAACCGAAGAGAAAGAAGCTTTCCTTGTTTTACAAAAAAATTGTAGAAATGTTCGCCTCACTTTAAGTTTTGACCACATATAATTGAAGTAGTCAAATTGGTGACTTTTACGTTAAATTAACCAGCTGAAAGGTTTTTTTTTCTAATTATCAATGCGATAAAAAAAGGAAGAAAAAGGGTTGTAGCTTGGAATTCTGACAATGATCAGGCACTTGCACATCACCTCTGGTTAAATATATCTGTATAATTCCAAAGAACTTTCTCTCCTCTGCAATGAAAAAGCGAATGATATTGCAACAAAACAAGTAAGAATCAATGGGAATTACGAGACTTGTGAATTTCAAACTGAACAAGTACTGATACAATGAAATATATAAAGTTCATATATTTTAAACTGCGGTATTAGATACGTATGATGCACGATCCTCGCAGTAGATAGCGCTATTTATGCAATAGCGAAAATCAGACCTGAAAAAAAAAATCAGGCCTGTACGGAATTCGAACCGCTGACCTCTGCGATACTAGTGCACTCTATGATACTAGTGAACAAGTACTTGTGGACATACAACTGACACATTCAACAAAAACCTTAAATGTTCAACAATGACCATTAAAGGTTAAAAATAATCGTGATAACGTTAAACAATTTTATTTAGACTTACTCATTGTAGTCTTCAAGTATTGGTTTTAGTGCTTGGAGCAATTTTTCTAAGTTAAAAAATCCAACATTTGGCTGATTCTTGTAACTATATCTTCCTTCATCATCTGATGTGTTAGGAACAAAGTCTGCAGTCAGAGATCATCAAACTGTCAGACAAATTATTACACAAAATAGTTCGAGTTGACTTGAACAAAATTAATTTCGAATCAAATCCCAGATATGTCAAATTTCATGAAAGTTCTTCTCTTTACCTGGGTTGAAGTCATCCATAAATCCAAAAGGACCATAGTCTATGGTAACTGACAACAAACTAAAATTGTCTGTATTACAGACACCTCCAAAAAAGAAAAAAGTTCATAATTAAAGTTGTGTTTAAAAAAAATCTTTATGGAAACACCTTGAATGACAGAATGTTTAATTTGTTCTTCAACTTCATATTTTACCGTGAGCAAAGCCAACAGATTGCCATTTAGAAATCAGGTCTGCTGTCATGGAAACTACTCTTGAAAAGAAACTCTGAGATCAAAATGAAGTTTGATGACCTTGTATTAGTATTATGGGGTAAGGCTATGGTACAATGTCACACAAAAATAAGCAGTTGATTTATTTGCATTGTACAAGCCATGAAGAAAATACCTGCTGTGAAGAAATTATGCAAGTTCTAATTGCATCAAAAGTTTACAAAATCTAATACTCTCTGATCAAATTGTACTGTTATTTAAAGAGAAAATTAATTTTTAAGGCCTTCTAATAGCTGCTTCAGTTTAGAAAAAAGCAAAATATCTTACCAAGTACTTCCTGGTCTTGTTGACTAAATCCTTGAAATAATGATCAATGACAAAATCCACAACTTTTCTGTAAAACAAATAAATTGGCCGCTCCAAGTTTATTCAATAAAATTCAAATTGATACAATGCATGTGGACACAAATGGGCAGCGAGCCTAGTGGTAGGAGTTAACATGAATGTAAATGGCAGAGTCCCCAAGCAATCAGTATTACAGGTAATTGTCTGTTTCAAAATAATATATACATTATCAGAGGTGCCAGAGCCACAAAAAGATATACAAACCATGGCATCATTTTGAACTTCTCCAGAAAACTATTACAAACTTAAAACATACATTAGTGAGACATGCTTTATTCATGTACAAAATGAACAAAATTTCCCTCACACCTAAGAAGAGCTTCTTCACTGTTGTGCTCCAAAATTTCAAGAGAGCCAATTCTGAACCAAGATTTTGCTAAGCGTAAAACAATCGCAACTGAAATAAAGGAACATTTAATTTAGTATGTTAGATATAACAGAACTGGAAAGAAAGTTTTGTTTCACATTAGTGTTGTTACATTTTAAGCAATCCTAAATTCACTATCCACACAAATGTGCACCTTTTTCTTCCTTGGGATGTCCATCATAGAACTGATCCCTCCAAACAAGGTCATCACTCACAACAACACTGGCTGCTCTACTTGTTGGTACACCCAAATGAAACATGGCTTCACTGGCCAGAAACTCACGCACAGATGACCTCAACACTGCACGTCCATCACCGTGTCTGATCAATACAATTTATTTAGAAAAAGAATTCCACTTTAAAAAGCATCTTTAACATATATTATCAAAGCAAATGGCTGACAGAAAGAAAGAGGTTTCACCTATATACTCAGAGTTCCAAATGTTACCTATTCTTTATAATGCAACAATTAACAATTATTCCACGAGCGTGTGTTGGATATGAGATGATAGATAGCCAAAGAGGCGCGTAGCACCGAGTAGGCTATAATCCTCTCCTATCCAACAAGCGCGAGTGGAATAATTGTTTTATTGAAAACATTAAATTCAATATTAAATTTTACTAAATTTTTTTAGCTCCCTTCTAAGTTAAGCTGATGCATATGCTTACCATATTTGTAGATTATGGTATATTGGCTCATATACCATAAGGGCTAAGCCAATAAAAAGTCTTGAATTGCATTATCCAATGATCCAGTTTTTAATAAAGGATAATAGATGATGGTAAGTGATTTACATGGTAAAATCATTTAGTTTCAAATCAACACTAAACCTTAAGGATGTGGAGAATATGAAGTATGAGGTACCTACCTTGAATAAGGAGTTCTCCCTGAGCCTTTCAACTGAAGTTCCCACCTCTCTCCCATCCTTTTAAATATTTAAAAAAAAATATATATATATATATGTTACTTGGAGTTTTGTGCTTACACACTCATCTGTCTGATGAGTGAGTAAGCACGAAACTCCGAGTAACAGAAACCATGTGTCGTCTTGTTTGATCACTACCTACTGTATATGTATGTATGTATCTAATTATAACAAACTGCGTATGATGCACGATCCTCGCAGTAGATAGCGCTATTTAAGCAATAGCAAAAATCAGACCTGAAAAAAATCAGGCCTGTACAGGACTCGAACCACTGACCTCTCAAAATATATGATTTTCATATATTTATTCTATCTCATATAACAAACTGGTTCAAGACTTCAGAGGTAGTTCATTGTTTTATTATGACAGCTCTGTTTCGTATGGTCAAAAATATTTTTGACCATATAGTTATATATATATATATAATTATATAACTGCAGACAGTACCGGCCGTTTCGGCCTTCTGGGCCTCATCAGTGCAGTGCTGATGAGGGTGGGGGTGAACCGATATGGTTACCCCGAACGATCCCACATTTGTGGTATCGTCTAAGCCATGCCAGAGTGCTCAAACTACAAAAGCCTAGTGAGCTATGTGCAATGCTAGTGGAAATGACCCATATATATTCTCCCTGAGCCTTTCAACTGAAGTTCCCACCTCTCTCCCATCCTTTTAAATATTTAAAAAAATATATATATATATGTTACTTGGAGTTTTGTGCTTACACACTCATCTGTCTGATGAGTGAGTAAGCACGAAACTCCGAGTAACTTGTTTCATTTGAATGAAAGCTTCATTAAATTTATGACTTAAACTCTTGGATTATCGGTACCAATGTTATTACTGTTTTAGAAACACTAAAAGAAGTTTCCTTCACAGCTGTGCTTTGGTATCTCGTGGAGGGTTGCATCACATCCAAAAGAATTGTATAAAACACACGCAACAAGTACGTACCATAGAATAGCGTTTAGAATACCTGTAGATATACATTACCTATTAGTGTATTCCCCCAAAATCACAGCACGTCCATCTCCTAGTTGACCTGCCCAATCGCCAAACTACGCAAAGAAAAATAAGTCAATCCAGCCGACAAAAGTACAGGAAAATAATAAATTTCAAGCTTATTGGACTGCGTCTGAGTCCTAGCTCTTATTTATTAGCTTTTTGTTTGAGTAATTCACAAGAATAAGATTCCACATAAAGGCAGTCAGAACGAACCAGTAGAATGACGAAATCTTACCTGATGTCCGCCGTATCTATGTGATAGCACAATAGAGTTTGGTATTATTTTAATTCCCGCTGCAAAGTCTATGAATACTTGAGATTCTGAGACAGCGTCACTCAAATCAAGAATTTCGGTCACCACTCCTCGAGAAATCGCCACCAAATAAGGTTTATATTTGAGAGGAACTGGATGAACTTTTGAAAAAACTACTCCATGTACTTGTCTTACATAATTTCTCGTTTCTTTGTCCACATCAAATTCTTGCAATAGAATACTCCTTTCCATAAAACTCCAGTTTTCAAATTCTGTTAGTTCTGTCTTTCGACAAACAGGAACGTTTTGTACCAACTGTAAAAACGTTTTTGTCTCACAAACGGAGTGATCCTGCAGGGAGATGCTGTAAATTTTCCAAAGATCCTCATCCACTACGCTAAAAACCGGGCCGTGAAATAAAAACCAAATGAAAATTGCAAGAGGACAATGACGGAGACACAAATCATCCGCCATATTAGATGCCCTAGTGTCCAGGCCTTGTCATTTCATGCNTTGCATCACATCCAAAAGAATTGTATAAAACACACGCAACAAGTACGTACCATAGAATAGCGTTTAGAATACCTGTAGATATACATTACCTATTAGTGTATTCCCCCAAAATCACAGCACGTCCATCTCCTAGTTGACCTGCCCAATCGCCAAACTACGCAAAGAAAAATAAGTCAATCCAGCCAAGAAAAGTACCAGGAAAATAATAAATTTCAAGCTTATTGGACTGCGTCTGAGTCCTCGCTCTTATTTATTAGCTTTTTGTTTAAATAATTCACAAGAATAAGATTCCAAATAAAAGCAGTCAGAACGAACCAGTAGAATGACGAAACCTTACCTGATGTTCGCCGTATCTATGTGATAGCACAATAGAGTTTGGTATTATTTTAATTCTCGCTGCAAAGTCTATGAATGCTTGAGATTCTGAGACAGTGTCACTCAAATCAAGAATTTCGGTCACCACTCCTCGAGAAATCGCCACCAAATAAGGTTTATATTTGAGAGGAACTGGATGAACTTTTGAAAAAACTGCTCCATTTACTTGTCGTACATAATTTCTCGTTTCTTTGTCCACATCAAATTCTTGCAATAGAATACTCCTTTCCATAAAACTCCAGTTTTCAAATTCTGTTAGTTCTGTCTTTCGACAAACAGGAACGTTTTGTACCAACTGTAAAAACGTTTTTGTCTCACAAACGGAGTGATCCTGCAGGGAGATGCTGTAAATTTTCCAAAGATCCTCATCCACTACGCTGAAAACCGGGCCGTGAAATAAAAACCAAATGAAAATTGCAAGAGGACAATGACGGAGACACAAATCATCCGCCATATTAGATGCCCTAGTGTCCAGGCCTTGTCATTTCATGCGAAGATACCACAGAGACAGGGCTGAATAACGTCTGCGCATGTGCGAGATGTCATTACAACAAGATCAAAATTTCGGCGCGAACGTGATGCATGGTGCTTTCCTGTTCAGTTGAATAACGACAAGAAAAGAACAGAAAATCTTCCATTATTTTTGCACTTAAACACAAACATCTCCTTTTCAAGCTTTGGAAAATGAAAATTTGAACAATCCGAAGTTTTTCCCTGAAGAAATACGAGAAAACTTGACGTTAACGCGGTAAATATTCTGAGCTTTGGAGACGCCTTTGGATTCAACCACTACGACGCGTTCTTCGTTTCGATTTACACTCGTCTGCTTCGTTTGAGAAAGAAATGATGTTTGGGAGACATTGTTGGCAACACGAGAGTTTGGAAAAGTGTCGCCAGAGGTGAGTATTACGATCTTAGTTTGTTTTGTAATCAAAACGGCACCTTTCTTGCGCTAGTCGCAAGTTAATAGGGACTTTAAGATCCGAGACGCGACAGTTTCTAGAACGCGGTGGCTGAGAAAGGACTAGGACTAGAACACCGTCGTTTGCGCGGGAAAAGTAGAGTTAAGATCCCCGTCGCTATGGAAGACGACGCGGCTGCGAATTGCTCTTTAACAATGTGATTCTTCGGCAATTCTTTCGCAGAAATAGCCATGGGATCATTTAAGAGAGTTCAAGAAGTGCTTTGTTTGTGTCTAATGGAAGAGATCATAGACGAAGAAGAGTTTGCTCTGCTTTACGAAGCATACAAGCCGAGTAACCTTCCTTTTTTTCACTCGGCGTATGAAAAGTTTTCCCTCGCGAATAAAGACCCAGCCGAATGTAAAGCTGATTTCCGAGTGGAAAAGAGAGATATTCCTTTGCTTCTTGACGCACTAAGAGTACCTCCTGTCTTTCAATGCCGCAATGGAACAATTTGCGATGGAGTGGAAGGCTTGTGTATAATGCTGAAAAGGTTTGCTTACCCGTGCCGGTATTCCGACATGATTCCTATTTTTGGACGATCCGTGCCCGAACTTAGTATGATTAGCAATGAAGTTGTAGACTGGATGT